CTCCCTGTCCCTCTTCCTCTCCTGCCTCTCTCTCTCTCTCCTCTTTCCTCTCCGCTGCTTCTGTCTCCAGAGGCTGGTCCCCCCTCCCCTTTCCCCTTTTTATGATCCCTTCCCCTAATTTAAAAAAAAAAACCTTTCTGCTTGAACCCTGTGCACAGCATCTTTCTCTTGTGAGCCACTTTTCTTAAGTTACAATAAGGATCCATTCTTTCTTGTTTTTCAGTTTCTACTGGCTGAACATTCTTAGTTTGTTCTCTGTAATTTGAAGTTCTTAACTATATTTAAGACTTATGAATGCATGTTCAAAAGCAAAATACTACTAACAATTATAATATTTACAACTTTTCAGAAATAGTCTGATATGTAAAGGCAGTACTTTCCATTTGGTAATGAGAAACTTGTATTTCCATGGAGGGGATATTGCTTAGTGATAGAGTACTTACCTAACATACTTGGGGGTCCTCCTTGGGCTGGATCCTTACATACCAAAGACACAAAAAGAACATTAATAATACTCTTCATGTACTGACATGAAGTTTTGATGTAATTTTGTAGATGTAAATTCTATAGTACCCTTGATCCTTGTTTCAGGTAAATTAATTTAGAATAGTGTACACAAAATAATTTCATGGAAAATTTCTTTTATGCAATAAAAATAATATGATTCCCCCATCATTCACCCAAATTCAAGTTTTCAATCCAAGGGAGCTGTCATTTTTTAAAAAAATAATTTATTTTTATTTTTATGGACATCAATTGGTGTTTTGCTTGCATGTCTGTGTGAAGGTATCAGACCCTCTGGAACTGGAGTTACAGACAGTTGTAAGCTACCATGTGGTCTTAGGGTCCTCAAGAAGTTCCCGTAAAAGGCCACCAGCCACATCTACAATCAGCAAAAGCTCTTTTTTTTTTTTTTAGATTGATATTCCAACATGTTGGGGTGGCTCATGGCAACAGCCGGAGAGGCTCAGAGGCCCCTTTTAAAAACTAGGTTAGGAGAATTCAGGGAGGAGAGATTAGTCTGGAGGTTAATTGGTGTGGGGAGACTAATCTGGGGGCTGATTGGTGGGGAAATCTAGTGGTTAGGGACTTTCCAGAGGCAGGGGAGGGAAAACTATCGTTAGCTATCAGGAGACCGTGGTCGTCTGCTGAGCCAGCAGAAAGCTAAAGGGGCGTCTGTTGATCGGTTGTCCTTGAGTTGTGGTTTTCCCTAAGAACTGTTTGCTCAGCTCCAGCCACCTCCAGCAAACTGAAACTAAGTCCTGGTCCCAGGCAGGAGCTATTAGAAACCTGTCATGGCTCTGGTCTGGCTCCCTTGTCCTCTCTGTGGGTGCTGGGCATTGAACCTGGGTCCTCTGGAAGAGCAGCCAATGGTCTTGACTGCTGAGCCATCTCTCCAGCCCTGGGAACTGCTATTTTTATTTGTATTCTATTATCTGAACCACTGAGATCCAAATAGATGACATCATAGCATTTCATCTTTACTCAGCATACATTTCTAATGGATATTCTTCCCCTCTCCCTCCCCTTCCCTATAGCCACAACAACTATCACTGCCCAAAACATGTGCAGAAACCTCAGGATTCTCAAATATCCAGTGTTCAAATTTCCCTAATTACTCAACTTTCACTTATAACTTATTATAATTAGTATCCAAAGGTCACATGCTATTTGGTTATTTAAAAAGACTTGAGAATCTTTTATCCTTATAATTAGCATTTTAAAGAGGCCAGTGTGTGTGTGTGTGTGTGTGTGTGTGTGTGTGTGTGTGTGTATACACCTGCAGAGACCAGAAGAGGGCACTGGTGAGCTGGAGCTGGAGTTACAGGCAGCTACAAGATGAACTGAACTCTGCTCCTCTCAAAAGGCAGCACATAGTGCATGCACACTCATGAGCACCAAGCCTTTGGCCTGTGTTTGCAATGCTGCTGTGTTAACCATTTCCTCCCAGACTGAAGCTTTCCATCCTGCAGGAAGCTACTTAACCAGGAAGATAAACAGCTCAAAATAGCTTCTTGAAGTCCCTGAAGATGACAAGATTCGCTAGGCTCCTCCCTGCCAAAATAAGCAATAAAAGCTGAGTATGCCTCTTAGATGGGAGGAAGCTGAGTTGGAAAAAGCTTACTGAGGCCAGTCCAGCTGCCTGGACAAGTATTAGGCCAACTGGCTCCCATTTCTTTTGTTTTCCAGACAGGGTTTCTCTGTGTAGGCCTGGCTGTTCTAGAACTTGCTTTGTAGAGCAGACAGGAATTGAACAGAGATCTACCTGTCTGTGCCTCTGCAGGGAGAAAAGGTGTGCACCACGGCCACCCAGCTAACCTTGTGAAGGGCACTCTCCATCTTGTTGAGCTGCCTGTAGGCTGTGCGATGTGAGCTGTCACACATGCCGGGGTGGAACTTGCTGACGCCGCTGTCTTTGAGTCATTTCTGCTCCTGTAAGTAATAACCCCTAACCCATATTCTTTTTTTTTTCAAATTAATTGGTATTTTATTTAACAGGCAAGTTGGTACCATTCTGAAACTTAAAACTTTTGCAAACAACAACTTTATGCTGAAGCCCATGAGGTACTTAGGTATTCCAGGGTCACCACTAACTGAGGATGTTACGAGCTTTAAGGTAAGAACAACCTCAGAGTCCAGTAGTTTCTCTCCAAGTCACTTGAGAGTCTATGCAGCTAAGTTCTCTCCTGGGCACTGCTGCTTTCACAGGATAAAATTCCGTAATCCTTACAAGCTCAAAGCCCCTCTCTACCATTAACTCCCTTACCAAGAAGCACATATCACATGTCCTTACATTTACCCTAACCCCAAGAGCTCTGCTTCATTTTATAACAGATTATTCACTGAAAGGCAGAGCTGTTGTTTTTAGAATTAACAAGTCCATTCGTCTGTCCTTCCTTCCTTCCTTCCTTCCTTCCTTCCTTCCTTCCTTCCTCCCCCCTCCCTCCCTTCCTCCCTTTCTTCCTTCCTCCCTTCCTTTCTCGTTCATGTTACTGACATGAGGACAGAACTGACAATATAGTGAACAAGCATTCTGCCAATGACAGGTACCCACCACCTCTTATCTTAATTCCTCTACATGCCTAACCCATATTCTTGTTGACTAGTTGGAACAGCCGTATATTGGTCTGTTGTGGGTTCCGTCTTGGGGGAGTAGGTGTGTGTGTGTTCTGTCTCCCCTGGGGGTTTTGTCACACGATGGATGCTAAAGCTGACGAATGTATTCAGGTATCATCAGACAAATCCATTCAGCCCTCATAAAATGAATATAGCAACCTTTCACTTAGTAACTGTTGGTGATACCTATGGCCATTATTTGACTCAAGGTTGGTTATGTTTTTTAAAAACTTCTACTTACTAAAGTTGGATAAGCCTTAAGGAAATTTAATGAAAACATCTCAATTTAGATAGGACAAAGCCAAGTGACACAAGAAAGGTACTTGGTGTGTGAGGTATTTGTTCAACAAATTGACCATACCTCCCCTTGTTAGTGAGACTCTTAGTAGTCTTATTGAGATAGGTTTATCCTAATGAAAATACTGGCATTGGTTTCAGGTCCAGCCTGCCCACACATATGCCATCTTGACAAAGTCTAGGCCTCAGCTTCTCCATTTGTAAACTGGACAGTACTGATCCACATCAGAGGGTTAAGAAAAATAAGTGGAACGGTAAATACAATGCTTGACACATCTGATATGAAATTATCATGGTTGAGCACTCAGTAACTTAGCACTTTTTTATTGGTAATGTTATTGTTTTACTATTACATGAAATGAGCACCAAATTTCCATTATGGAAAATTATATATATATGTGTGTACAGTGTTCTATCTGTATGTATCCCTGCAGGCCAGAAGAGGGCACCAGATCTCACTACAGATGGTTGTGAGCCACTGTGTGGTCTCTAGGAATTGAACTGAAAACCAGCCAGAGCTCTTAACCTCCGAGCCATCTCTCCAGCCCGGAAAATCATATTCTTGATGGATACTTTTCACCATAGGCCCTTAAGATTATTTGCTGTAAGCAATCCCTGCTTAGGATGAAATGGCTTTCATCACTCCCAGCTAAAGGCAAACAGTGTTTTAATAACAATGTAGTTCATACATATTAGTTTTCTTATTTGAGCATGCTTAACTTAAACACTGCTGGGCTACAAATGACTATTTTCTAGGCCCGAATCCTCCTTTAGGTCTTACCTGAAATATCCTGTCACACAGGACTCAGACTGCTATAGTGAGATCCTGACTTAAAAGGAGTGGGTAGTCGGTGGGGGGGAATACACTAGCTTAACAACCATTTTGAAGGAATCCATTTTCAAAAGGGTTTATTTTGACTATTCAATTATGTACATGTGTGTGCTTGTGCACTTAGGTGCCTGTGGAAGCCAGCAAGCTCTAGCAATCCCTTGGCCATGAGCAGCCACGGGTGTGGGTTCTCAGCAAGAGCAGTAAGTGTTTTTAACTACCCAGCCATCTCTCCAGCCCTTTCCTTGCCTTTTTGTCAAGTGTTCAACCTGGTATACTACTCTAAAACCTTAGTTCTGTGGATGGGAATACATTACTTTTCTTACCAACTATCTTGTACCAAATAACGGAATCTGTTCTCCCCAAATTCATAATGTTTTGTTTCATGTGTATGTGTGATGGTGTGTGTATGTGCGTGTGTGTGTGTGTGTGTGTGTGTGTGTGTGTGTGTGTGTCCTGGGGTATCACTACTTTGATAGGTTTTAAGTAATGAAAAGATATACAGAGGAACACATGGATGCTTACCAGAAGTGACTGTCAAGATTTTCAACCAACTAAAAGTCCCAGGTAACTGAAATTTTTTTTCAGAAAAAAAAAAAACAAAAACCAAAAACTTCCAACATAAAAATTTATTGTATAATAGTTTTATTTTTCTCATTTACTATTTTTACATTTTATGCACAAATATTTTTATCTGAGTAAAAATAGAAAATAACTGTTTTATGTAAAATTACAAAAAAACCAAAGAAATACATAATTGTTATTATGATAGTATAAGTGTCTTTATTTAAAGAGTAAAAATGTATGCAAAAATTCTCCTCCCTTCTACAAAAGACTGAGAATACTTCTTTTCTTGGGAATAAGTGAAATATTGAAATAACATTTTTATAGCCTATAGATCCGAAGACATTAAGTCAGTCACAGGTTTAGTTTGCAGTTATAAATCTTAAAACGTTTTTGTGCTATCTCAAGGATACACTAGTTCTTTATAAAAAGCAGTAGATAAATGGCAAATGCAGAAACGACGGAACTTGCCATAAATATTTGGAGGTACACTCCTTAAAAGAAATAACCATACTTGAGCATCACCACATATCTGGGGAGAAAAATTAAATATTTCTTCCTAATTTATTTACATAGATTGACACCAAAATGAATGTAGCCAGTTAACTGATCATGCAGAGATCAAGCACATACAGCAACTCTGCCTGACCAGCTGGACTTTTCCAAGGCCAACACAATGTTCAAACTTCAGGCTAGCACACAGAGAAATGAGCTTTGTGAAAACATCCCCTGGAAAAGCTGTCTTAAAACAAAAGTGAACATTTCATCACTTGTGAACTTACAAGGTACAAAAGACGGTCAAACAATTGCATTTTCTTTTTATCCCACTGTATCTTAAATTCTATGAAAAGTGTATGACAATACTGAGCAAAGAATACCACAAATTAATATTTTCTCTCACAACATGAGTTGTTTTTAATAAAAGACTAGCAAACTGTGGCCACATAAGGACAACAAATGTTTTCTATCTAAGTGGAGAAAGTCAAGGAGAAACCCTCTCACTTCCTGCGTGGGGTGCATAGAAGGAGGTGAAGAGACATGAGCATTTCACATCTGAGAACTCTGTTCAAATAATGACTAAAACAAAATCTACCAATGAAAGAAAATCTACAGAACAGTTGCTGTTGTTTAAAAAAAACAAAACAAAACAGAACATTTGAAAACGCTTAACTAGATTTTTGGGATCTAGAAATGCAGACGTTCCTTTCCTTAAAAATCTACATTTCTACCAAAGAAACACAAAGCCTGTCCTCAACATTGCACCTGTAAATCCTCAAGCTGTCCATGTACTATGGAGACATCCTGTTTTGAAACAGTGACTGGTTTCCCAAAATGGGAAAAGCCTCCTTTACAGCTGCTCATTTGTTATCTTAAGTCAGGAATTCAAGACCATTTTTACACTCAGATAGTCTTAAAATCATGGAGATCAAATTGTAATGGTATCTGCCAGCCTGTTTATCTAAAAAAGTAAAAATGTAATTGCTTGTAAGTATGTACTGTAGAACCTTAAAGGACTTGGTGCACACGCACTAACAGTGTCGCTGAAGTCTGGCAGCGGGATGAGCTACCCTTCTTTCTCGTCCCTGACACGCCAGGCCACTGCTTACTTCTGGCAATACCACCAGGCTGCAATCTCAAATGGGTTCTTTTAAAGCCATTTCTGGGCATGAGCTGAAAGAAAAAGAGTTGCATAAAGTAGCCTTTATACTCTTCTGAGAACACCTTTCTGCTATGAAAACTATTTGCTAGTCTCTGTATCATGATTTATGCATATTATTTTAAAACAAAAGAAAAAAGATTTTTCTAGTCATTTCTTCTTAGTGTTAGCAAGCAGTAAGGCATCCCATATAATATTTAAAGATTTTAGAAATAAGTCTCCCTTTTGAACATCTTTATGTCTTCACTTCATACATGCAGGAAGTGATTAGCTGGCTACATCTAATATTTTTAGAGACACATATGCAATATTCAAAAGGAAAACAATGAAACAAGTGGGGAAGTTTATTTAAAGATCACTGACAGCGCCAAGTCAAACATCCTTTTATAACTATTCACTAGTAATTTACTAACATCTTCAAAGGTTAAGTACTTTCGTCTGATCTAAAGTCTTCATTTTACCAAACACAAAAGTGAATATATAAATGGTACTGCATAATAATCTGCTACTATAGATTAGTTTTAAAAAAAAGAAGTAAAACTAAACCAAGTTTTTCTTACTGAGGTATGCTTTTTAAAATCTGAAAGAATAATGTCATTTTGGAATTTTTGCAATAGCTGGTTTATAAGAAGTAAACGCCTCTCTCAAAATAATTTATATCCTCGGCCTGACATAATGGATAAACGATACAGAAAAGCATTAAGAATGGCTTGAGTTAAGCCAGCTTTAGAACTGGGTCTCATCAACACTCTCTTCTTCTGCTACTTAACCTCTTCTTTACTTGTGAATATATAAATTAATAACCTGATAGTAATTATCAATATAATTTTATTTGACATGAACATTTAGCTCTGCTTGATTAGGTGAAACAGGCACACATGCTTAGCTGAGAATTTCCTTTTTCAGGCTCTATGGAAAGCAGCAGAGAGGAAACAGTTTCCTTACTGTCATCTTCAGACGCTACTGGCTGTTTTTGGTAGGGCTAGACATTAATACTGACCAGTTTAGCTTTCCTGACTGTTAGCAAACTATCCCACGATGAACCTGCTCTCACACTTCAGGCATCGTGGAGATTCTTTAACACACATTTTCTAAAATATATGCTCAAAGTAAAAAGATCCAAATTCACAAGAGTATGAAATATTTATAAAAAATCATGCATCAGATTGAACAGTCTAGAAATAAGATTCAAATTCAATAATAAAGGTGAGAGCAAAGCTTGCTCCAAATATTAAGAAAAGCCTTAGACGCCTGGGAGGTCCCAGGTTTCAATTGTCCTTTTCTGTTTGCAGAGAGGCAGCGGCTAGAGCTACAGCTGTGACTGGCTGGGCGATTCCATGGAGCTGCATCTTTGCAAGTTTCTTCTGTTCACATTCTGTGACCAAGCGGTTCAGTTCTGCTGCACTGTATCCAATAAGAGTCTTCAAGTCACAAACAAATTTGTACACAAATCTCTTGCCTTGAACTTTACAGATCATGTCTCCATCATAATAATACCTTTAAAATGAGAAACCACATTAGGACCTTGTGAAAAATAAAGTTTGTACTTCCTATGTTTTAGACTTTTCTACAAATAGAAGCCCACAGAGTTCTGTACTCACCAGAAATAGTCAATGACATGAAACTTTCAAAATAAAATTTTAATGACTGTGATAACACATTGATTTAGTAACAACGTAATTACTCTAAACCCGAGACTGACTGTGTGAGAGCCCTGCAGCTGGACTTGCTGCCTCTGTGGCCACAGAGCCCCTTTCCTCTGTCCTTCCTCCCTCACCTAGAAAATGAGGTGAAACAGTACTGACTCTCATGGGATAATCTTTATAAAATGCTTAGCACACAATGAATGCCACAGCTGAATCTCTATTTTTATATTTTTTATTATTTATTTATATGAACAAATATAGTATATTAATTATATTAATAATAAATATATTATATTAATAAATAATTAATAAATTTATTAATTTATATTTTTATAAGCTAGTAAGAATCCAGAAAACAAAAATTTAGATGGTTAAAAAGTCCACTTCTCTAGTTTTATAAAAAATCTAATATATCTAATATAATACCATCATACCCGTCATCTTTTCTATTTACTTATGTAAAGGCTCCCCAAATTTTGGAGAAATTTTCCAAACCACTATGGAGTCCTGTGATAGTTTGAAAGAAAATGGCCCCCGAAGGGAGTGGCACTATCAGGAGGTGTGGTTTTGTTCCAGCTGTGTGGTCTTACTGGATGAGTGTGTCTCTGCACAAGTGGGCTTTGAGGTCTCATACATGCTCAAGATGCTACCCAGTGTGTGAGGCCACTTCCTGTTGCCTGCAAGCCGTAGCAGCCTCAGCTCCTTCTCCGGCACGCTGCCACACCCGCCACGATGATAATGGACTGGACCTCTGAATTGTAAGCTAGCCACCCCAATTAAATGTTTTCCTGGTCCTTTTGGGAACCTGCTCTCCATGCTGGATTACCTCCCCGGTCTCGATGCAGGGGGTGAGGTAATGTGCCATGCTTGGTTAAAGCCCATGGGAGACCTGACCCTTCCTGAGTGAAGAGGAAGAGTGGACGGGACGGGGTAGACAGGAATTTGGGGGGAGGGAATGGAAGGAGAGGCGGGAGGGGAAACTGGTCGGTATGTGAAATAAATCGGGAAAAAAGTTAAAGAAAATAAAAATTAAAATAAAAATTGCTGTGGTCATGGTGTCTTTTCACAGCAACAGAAACCCACTAAGATGGGCCCCAAAAGAATAAAAAATACAAGGGTCAGAACAAACAGACTACAGGAAGAGGTAAGGGACCATAAGGAACCACAGCTGCCCAGTCTATGATTGCAGAGCAGACCCAGCGTCCACCCTAGCAGGCTAACGCACTAGTTTCTATGGAAACAGCAGCAGCTGAGTTTTAGCTACTCTGTACAGACTTTACATCAACAAAGAATTTGAATCTTAGCTTACAAACCACCAAATTGCTTGCCATGCAGTTTAAACATACAAGTTTATGATAAACTGACACTTGGGAAAAGGAAAAAAGAAAGTGGTTTCATCTTTCCAGAATGTAATTAGAATTGGTATAATCATCACTTCTTGGTAAAAGAAAAATGCACACACACACACACACAAGCCTTAATTGTGTGTAATACAATGCCAGTTTACCATTCAGTATCACTCAGGCCTAATCATTGATTCTGTTAACACCTAGGGCCCCATATGTTCTTATCCAACCTTCTCACTCTAAAGGGAAAACGTAAGTCTGCTTCAAGATACTAATTTCACTGATCTCTTTTTTTTCCTGAAATGCACATAGTTTGCTTTTCCTATTTTATAAAACTATACTGTAAGTGCATGCATATATATATTTGGTATATAGACCCCTTCCTGAACATTACTTATCATCATTTGTGGCAATAGTTCATCTTTCATACCCAGATGTATCACAGTCTATCCATTCTTCTGCTGATGGACACATGATGGTGTCTGATTTAGGACACTGTAAGTGTGGAAACTTAGCAGGAAACAAGTGCACTCCTCACTGGATACAACTCTGCCCACCTCTGGCCACAGTGTGGAAGTAACTCTCACAGCCTCAATAACACAGGTAGTCCAGGGCTTTTGATTTAGAGTATTTGTAGTATTTAGGAAAAATCATTCTAAGTTCTACTTTTGGTTATTTGGATTTAGGTAGTTGTAAAAAAAACTGTAAATATAATTATAAAAAGCAGAAGACAGTATTCACATATTTGATGCACTACACACTCAATTTGGTATGCAAGTAGCACCTTTGTAATGCAAATTATAACAATATTAAAGATGAATAAACAGGCTGGTTTTGAACAGAGAATTATATGGTTTTGAATCACATAAAACAAATAATCTTATCAATCTTTTTAAAAAAACTTTAAGTACTTCAAAATTATCATTCTAACTTTAATTAAAATTTTATTTTAAAAGTCATTTCTAACATAATGCATAAAAGTTTTCATTTAAAAAAATTTAAAATCACATTCTGTTTAGTGTGTGTGTGTGAGAACCTGGCTCTCTTCTCCTACTATGTAGATTCAGAGAAGGACCTTGGCCGGGCAGGCTTGTGATGAACATCTTCATCCACTGAGCCATCCCATTACACACACACACACACACACACACACACACACACACACACACACACACACACACACACACACACACAATCTACCTACCTACCTACCAATCTTTTTTTTTTTTTGGTTTTCTGAGACAATGTTTTACTGTGTAGCCACGGCTGTCCTGGAACTCACTCTGTAGACCGGGTTGGCCTGCAATTCATAAGAGATCTGCCTCCCCCTGCTCCCAAGTGCTGCGATTTAAAGCGTGTACCACCACAGCCCAACTCACACTCACTATCTTATGAAAAAGTATTTTATTTTCATTACTTAACAGGCTTATATCAAGAACAAGAAGCTACATTTTGTAGAAGTTTGGTATCAGGGAAAACAAGCAAGAACTACAAACGCTTACCGTAACGCACGGCTGAGTTTCTCATAGTTCATCGTAGGCTTGTTTTTACGTTGTCCCCACTTTTGTGCAACCAATTCAGGCTGATTTAGCTTAAATTCACCTTCATCACCAACCCAAGAAATACAGTCTCGAGCATCCTTGTCAGTGAGAAGTTCTAACAGAAACTGCCACAGTTGGATCTGACCATTGTTTCCTAAATCCATAAGCAGAACAAGCACAGGTAATCACGTTAGAAGCTAACACAAGTCAAAGGCAGTACTACAAGTCCTCTGGTTCAATTTTAGTTAAGGCAAAAACAAACTTTGCATTTTAGAAATATGAACTACACACTGCCAGAGAGAGTCCACATTTATACTTTCAGATATCTAACTTGACACGTTTTATATTATCGATCCATGCAAAAGTACCTGTTCTATTTCCGGGGGAGCTTCTGTCTTCCCCTGAAATCCTTGGGGACCTCGGCACTTTGGCTGTCTTTGCACTACTGTTTATAACTTTGATTGTAGTTGGTGTAGCCGACTGCACTGATGCTGGGATAATTTGCACAGCTAAAGAAAAGGCAAAAAGGAAAATATATTTTCCTTCTATTATAGGAAGTAAAAATAAATGAGATCAATAAAATAAATGCCCTTTAATTATGTCAAGAAAGACGTGAGACCTAGGTAGAGAATAAAGTTGTGCTGTTTCCATTGCGGGTTGCAAATCTTAGTTTAGAAACAGTTAATCTTCCTTATCCAGAAACAACTTAAACGGTGTATGTCTGTTTTCGAAGTTACAATTCATTTCTTTATGAAAATGGTTTAAAGGATGGTGAAAACTTAGACTACCAAGAACTCAAATTGGTCTATAAGACTATAAACTCATAAGCACTGTGAGAAAAGTTGGAACTCATTGGAATTGACAGCGTAGAAATATAAACTGTTGATTTTTCTTGCACTTACTATTCTGGTAACATTTGGGGCATTTTTATCAGTAGTGAAAATGAACGAAACAGAGTTCCAAGTATCAACAAAGTGTTAAATAACAACTGAGCTTATTAAAGATCCAGGTAACAAGTCTCAAGCATTCACAGGATAATGCTATGGAGTATTTAGGCTGGCAGTTGGCAGAGAGAAAAAAACTCTGAAAAAGAGCAGTTGTGAATAATCAGTTCTCAATTTACAGAGGGAAAAGCAGGATTCCAAGGAAGCACATCCAACACACAGGCTCATCTCCTGGTCCACAAGGCATTAGTTATGACGCTTCATTCCTCTGTCAGAAAGCTATGTAGAAACTTTTAACTTGAAGTTATCTAACAAAGGAGCATTTCTTTCTGGTAAGTGGGCAAATTCTATGGGAATGAATACTCACGCTGGTCAATTGTAACTATCTCATTCATCTGTTGTTCTTGGCTTGCCAGAACATCTGAAGAACACAAGAAAATTCATTTTCATTTAAAACCAAAAATATAATTCCCAACCCAGTAAAACTGAATTCAGCAAACATGTTTTTTAAAAAAGCCCCACAGTTAAAACCAAAACCAGTAAGACAAACAAGATATGTATTAACTGAAATTTAGCAGGATAACAAATCCAAACCCTCTTGAGATGCTTCAATTATAACATTCACTTTTGAATAAACCTGCCTTAACTTCAGAACATTCCTAAAGTTAAATTTCAGCAAAACTTTCAGTAATACTCGTCAGTTTCCCCAGATCAGATGCTATTCTTACCGTGATCTTACACATCCCAGTTTCTGGGCACTACACTTGTCTGTTGAAACTGAACCTGTCAGTGATCATCCTGGGTCTGAGAGTCGTGAGACAGGAACCTTGAGAACTCTAAGGTGGTGCTGTTTGCGTCCAGTTTGAAATACAAGGGCAGCAAAGGGCTGGGAAACCAAGGCAAGGTCTGGATCCTGCCCACCAGATGGAACTTTCTTCGACGCTCTTAAGTTTGAGGTTTTAATTATTTAGGACTTGCTTCAGAGACACAGGGCTTTAGATCTTAGCAATCACTACCATTTAGGTAAGATCTCAACCTCTGGACATTCTTCCCGTTTAAGTGAGGTCTCACACAGCTCACTGTCATTAAAGCTAAACTACTCCACCTGTAACTAAATGACTAGAAGTGGCATAGCCTTAAAGGAGACATACTAGGAAGGAGCCCTTACACAGTCCAGATACCGGCGACCTGGAAACTCAGTTCCAACCTTCATTCTCAGAGACTTGAGTTTGGTGTGCTTCTGAGACTCAAGACAAAGCAGAAGACACAAAGTGATAGGTTTTTGAATGGTTCATCTAAGAAAATATAGAAATATAAAGCCCCCCACATTTTAGCCACCCGTGAGGGAAACAGAATGCTTAAAATCAAAGTCCTAGGGAACATGAAGCAGTTGGTGAGGAAACACTAGGCCCTAAGACTATAAAGCTGAAGCAGTTCTTTTCTGTAAAGACTTTGGTCTTTGGTGACAAGGCAGATGTTTACACCAAAAGCACACTGAAGAATCTGCATGCCTGAAACGTTTATTTATCTTCCCCAAATATAACAGAACCTGAAAGAAACTAACTTAGGAGCTGCATTCAAGTGGGCCGAGTTATAATCAGGGTACAAAAGTTGTTCCCTGTTCAGATGGCTTCAGAAGAGAGCATTAGGGCTGAGTAGGCCCCGGGCTTCTCAGTAACAGTGCTGTCCTAGGAAACAGTACCTTTCAGAGTTGGGAAGTGCTGAGAAGATTTGGGAACTACAGATAGTCTGTCAGAAACAGCCTACAGATTATCACGCCCATTCTGTAAATGCTGAACGGGCCTTAGACCCTAAAACCAAATGCCATTTCCTTACTAGAACAGAGCAAAGGCCCATGCTGGAAGGCAAGTAATTGTGAGACGTTTACAGAGGCTGTCCAGTGCTAGAGGGGAGCTTCTCTGAGGAAAGCTCACTCCATTGCACAGAAAAGGACAAACAAGGTTCTTGCCCCCTGACTAGGAAAAGCAAGTGAGTAATAACTTTTACAGTTTGAGAACCATCAGGTGAATCAACTTGTGCCAAGCACAAGAAAGAGTTGATGTGGGAGAGACTGGGAAAACCATGGCTTCCAAAGAGAGTACATGAAGAGCTATTATTGTTGTAGTTCCAAGAATTCCAACATGAAAATGTTTGAATGGCCATGATTCAGTTGAGACTCTGAAAGCAGAACCAAGACATTTGGCTTACGCATCTGTAAGAAGTGAAGCTGGTAATAACCCTCCACAGCCAAGGCACAGTCTTTTAGTAACACTTAGAACCATCCATGAGGTTTAAGCAAGCAGAGCTTCCTTCCAGAGCTCACCTCTCAACAGCAGAAGGAACCTTGGGTGAAAATGCGAAGCATCAAATTACTGGGTAAGACCCTCTTTCCTTACCAGGTGTACAGTAGAACAAAGTAGGAGCTGTGACATTTCCATCCTTCATGCTAACAAAAGAACAGAGTCTACCTACCTGTAAACTGAAAACTACAAGTCTGTAACATCACTTGACATGCAAAACTTATGAGGGGATGTGCTGCTGGTAAGATTGCTTAACAGCCATCATAAAAGTCATTAACATACAGGATGGATTAAACAAAAAAATTACATTTACATGAACTCTTTGGTCAGCTAGGTAGTTTCCAAGTTTTCCTCATAGTCCCCTTATCATCTCTGCAGCTCTCTTTAAAAAAATCTTACTTATTCAACTAAGGAAGGCATTTAGAAATGCCTAACCTACAAATAAGAGACCAGAAAGGAAATCTGTGATCAAATGCAGGCAATGACTAGGCAAAGAGAAGGCAACGATTAGAATATATAGAGAGCTAGGGGTGGAGCATCGTGTGAGATTTAAGACTTGGACTCTAGTCAGGCTTGCACCTGCAATCCCAGCCACCGGAGAGACTGCAGCAAGGGGTCAAGCCCTGAGGCTACTAGACACAGCACACAGTAACACCTGCCTCAAAAAGAAAAACAGACAAACAGAGACCTTCAATGCGGTATAAGCCCCAGTTAGAATCTTATTTGGACACTTTCTAGGTCTAACACTCTGTAGGGATCTTACAGCCCCAGTTTCTCACACAGAAAGTAAAATCAGGAAATACTTCATGGCATTACTATAGGAACTGAGATAATACATAAAGAACTCTTCACAAAATTCCCTATAACAATAAATGTTAATTACTATAGCACGCGTTTGCTTATTAACACTTAATAAAATGAAAACAAAGTTACAAGAAATAAAATTATGCTTTAGTTACAATGCAAAAGATAATACTCTAATTTTATACATTTTCGAAGAAGCTCCAGATGACTCCAGAGAATTTCTCCCCGAGGGACCCGCTGAAAAAAATCTTCTTGGTTGAGACTACATAATTCTCTTCCCGAAATGTTGAGTGTGGTGAGGTCTATGTCAGTCATGCTGAACTCCTTCATTACCCAAACTACCCAATGCAGGACTTGGTCTGTGGACCACTGTATAGGATCTAGAAAGAAAAATATCACCTTTAGCCTAGTTCCATCGTAGAGAAATTTACAGTTAATTTCTCAATACACATATATACACAATATGAAATCCAGACAGATGTTTTCCCAAGTGAAGCAAACTGATTGTTTGAGTAAATTTTATGCTGATGCTGCATTTTCTACTCAATGCTTTTTCAAATTTTCAATCTAAGTTACCAATGGAGTCACTTGGTTCTATTATCAGTTAGTCTGGAATTTTATCATAAAAACCAAACTATTAAAGTGTTCTCTGGTGGGCCAAATGACTAAAATATATCTTGGAGATAATAGAGGGTACTGCCCAAGCTCAAAATATTATTCTGTAGCACTGTATGGTTTGGTCCCTTGAAAAAAAAATTCCATGGGATCCTAGGGAGCTAGCATTACTCTTCACATTGTGCACAATGCACCTGTTCCCCGTCCCTTCCAATAAAAGGTTAGCTACCTTGCCCTCACACTTGGTGGCACTTAGGATATGGTATTCTAACTACCTGTTCACTCAGTTGTTTCCCCATTGGCATCAAGGATGTAATTCCAAAGACTGTGTCTCGAAATCTGACTTCAGAGTCTACCACGGTGCCTTGAACAGACATTTGTTGACTTTACACAAAGAATACCCAAATTATTTCATCTTTTCTGTTATTTTGTTTTTACAAGTTAAATGAATTTGCAAATAGACAAAAAAAAAAAAAAAAGGATTGCCAGCATATACAAAGATTACATGACTATATTCCTGGCACCTAACAGAAAATGTTATCTGTGGGAACTTAATGCTGGATTAATTCTGGCACTGGCCCTCTTGTTTAAAGATGATGATATTGATCATATACCCAATAAATGTGTTATTCAGTAAGAAAACATGTGAAGAAGTAACAGTTTTTTCAAGGAACAATTTATATAATAAATATAAATGTACAGGATTGAAAGCAATAAGAGAAGGGGAAAGTCTAGGAAGATAGGAATTAAGTTTGATTTCTCTGAATGTACAAACAAAGACAGGAAAGCAACTGAGGTTAAAACCAGAAACCTATAAATGCTTACAAAAATCAAACAGCAACACCCAGGTGACAAAATATCTACCAGAGTCCGTAATATACCTGGGTGAAGACAAAGTCAATTTTATAAAATAGTGGGTGTGGTGGCACACTCTGTAACCCCAACTGCTAAGGAGCCTTGAGGGCAGCTTGGCCAACAGCCAGCTCTCATCTCAGGCAGTAAAAACACAAACTGCAGAAGAATGCAAAGGAGAGCAAAATGACACGCTGCATTCTGAGCGCAGGATGCCTGGCTACCGGCAAGAAGCAGTCGCTGGAAGCACAGCGGGTCAGAGGAAAGGCCCGGGCTACAGCACAGTTCTAGTGCTGCAGCAGCTGAATGCGGGGTCCAGGGAGGAACAGAACAATCGTGAGAAGCATGGGGCGTGACAACAAGGAAATGCACAGAGAAAGAGGCCCAGGCAAAAGCAGATTAGGAAGGAAACAACAAAAGAACAAATAATGAAACAGAGCTGGGCCTGATGGTGCAGACCCATAACCCCGGTTACCTGGAGTCTGAGGCAGGAGGTCATTCACAGTTCAAGATCAGCCTGAGCAATTTAAGGAGACCATGTCTCAAGACAAAAAAACTGAAAAGAGGGCTGAGGATATAGCTCAGTGGTAGAGTGCCTGTAAAGCATCCATTGAGTCCAGAGTTCAACCTCCATTACGGCCAAAACAGGAAAGGGAGGAAGGGAGATGGTATGGGGGACGATTAAGGGATGGAGTATATGAGAATGAATAGGCAACAGATAAGAGCTGAGAGAGCAAGCTGCTCAGCTCTGGATGTTACCCCACACCAACATAAGACGGCTCTGAGTTAGCCAAGTTACCTTGAACCACACCTCCCTTTAAAACATTTAAGAAAGCAAGCTCATTTTGTATACAAATGTACAGGTAACTATCAAGCTCAGGTAAGGCAAGGAAAAACAGTCTCTCTTGTTTTCATGAAATACTATCAGGACATCCATTAATCTATCCTAACTGGCTGTGTATTTGCTTTTCTCAAAGGTAATAGTGAAATGACAGAGAAGCACAACGACCCAGATACAAAGTCACAGAGTCGGAGGGGAGGTTCAGTTCTTAAAACAGTAAGCTGGGCAATAACCAATTTACTCAGTAAAGAGAAGTTATGCCCGAGTCTGCCCAGTGTAAAGTGAGAATTCCTCCCTTCAGAACTTGTATTGCTCAGGTTGTACCTGACTGCAGGCAGCAAGAAAGACAGAAGGATAAAGAGGAGGAACACATTTAATGTAGAGTTGGATTATTCTTTTAAGAATATACAGTATAAGCCAGGCATTGGTGGCACATGCCTTTAATGCCAGCACTCAGGAGGCAGAGGCAGGCAGATCTCTGAGTTCGAGGCCAACCTGGTCTGCAGAGTGAGTTCCAGAACAGCCTCCAAAACAATACAGAGAAACTCTGTCTCGAGAAAAAAAAAAAAGAATATACATTATATTATAATGAATAAATACTCATGCATAACACAGTGAAGGAAAAGATGCTCACTGTAACCAAACTAAGATAAAGACCAGACACAAAGAGCAGATAAAAAAGCCACAATACTCAAGAACTTGAATGAAGGTGCCTCTTAATGTTTTATACGACAACAGCAATGGAATGGGTTTGGGATCATCAAACTTAGAAGAAAATTGTAAAGTTTAATGTGCTATGACACTCTCATATGCAGAGCATATTCTTTCTAGAGAATCTAAACAGAATGCAAGAATGGCGAGTAAAACAACAGGCTGAAGCTACAAGAACAGAACAGGCGGACCAGCACTACAGTGGAATAAAGGCTAAATAACAGCTCCAGGTGTGGAGCTGCTTCCAGATACACACGAGAACGAGAAAAACGAGCAGCTGATCTCTCAAAGTAGCAGAAAGAAAGTCTTGACGTGTATATATACACAACCTGCTAACTAAAAATAAGACTTGAGAGGTTAAGCAAGAAGACTGCTGCAAGGACAAGGCCAGGATAAGCTGGGCTACATGGAGAATTCTAGGATAGCCTGGGCTAGAATGAGACTCTCTTATAACAAACCAACAAGAAACCAATCAAACAGCAAAAAAGAAGTCAAACTTGAACTCAGGAAACCTAAAAGTTGTCTAACAAGGTTCTACAACAAACGAGCAGTCCTAGGACGATTGGACTAACTTAAATGAAAGTAACAAAGCAGTTTGTAAAACAGAAAGGGAAGCCAGGTGACTGCAATTCCACCAGATGGGGAGGCTTAGGCTGGATGACCACACGCCAATAAACTTCATCTGGGCAAGACTTCGTCTCAAAAAAAAAAAGAAAGAAAGAAAAAAAGAAAAACGCAAACCATATACACCACACCCACCAATCAAGACACCAAAATGAAAAAGAGAAACTCTTACTTTGTTGTACACAGAAGCTAGACAAGCCTCATTCACTACAAGGCGATGAATGAAAGCAACTGTAACACAGTTGTGGCTAGAGAGGAGGATAGAGAAGAGGACCAACAACAGGACAGCTGGTGCAGAGCGGCTCCTGAGAGCTCTTCTATCAGACCTTGAGAGGAGTTCAAAAAGGAGTTTCCCAGTGAGGAGAAGACAGAGCTACGGAACTGGACAGTCAGCCAGACACAACCTTTAATACTTTTCTTGTATGAATATTATTTATATTTAAGACTCCACATATGTTCTTAAATGTATCTGCAAAACATGAACTTTAAAAAAAAAGAATGCAAATCACAATCTATCACTTCAATATGCATATTTCATAAAGGAAAAAACACATTTGACTCTGAATTTTTTATTGCTTTCCATTTCTTTGATAGATTTCTAACTACTATACAGTTTTTAATTTCATCTTCAGATTAGTTTAATAGGTAACACTAAAAAATATTCACATATACAACCACATGAATGAAGAAGTGTCTAAACTGTCAAGATAGAAAATTTGATTATATTAATGTGAACTTTAATGTTTCCCAACGTGGGTCAGCATTTCAAAGAGATTTAAAGTAGCAATAAATAATCGTATTTTAGTGGTGACTATAATTAATAAATTTGCCAAAGAACGGCATGTAGATAAAAAAATTTGAAATAATAGTTTTCTTAGAAAATATTACTCACTTGTAAGCTTGCTGTGGAATTTTGAATGCAATTAAATGTGTCAGGGCTGTCCCTGAATGGAGGCCTATTAGAAGCCATAGTGTGAGGCTGTGGAGCTGAAGCCTGGATTGCCTTGGAGACCCCAAATTGCTGAAGATCCTGAGAGCTGTGGGAAAACCTGCTGAGGAGAGCTGCTAACAAGGAGTGAAACCGGTCCAAGAGAAAGAAGTGTGTCGAAGTCAACAAAGTTGAATGGAGTTAGAGATCTGAAGAGCACTTGACATCAGGCATGGAGATGCAGAGTCTGGAGTTTGCCCAGCTGGTCTTCAGTCCTGTGTTAGTGCAGCACTTCCTCTCTGTGCTCCTTTCCCTGTGTTTTGGAACAGTAATGTGTGTCCTGTGCCATTACATGCCAGAATTATGTGATCTGCTTTTTTGAGTTTTACAGTTAAGAGATTGCATGAATCTCAGAGGAGACTTTGAACTTTGGACTTTTAAAACATTGTTCAGACTGTGGTAGACTATGGGAACTTTTGAAGTTAGACTAAATACATTCTGCATTATGATACTGTTACAAGTTTATGGGGACCATGGAGTGGAATGTGGTAGTCTGGATATAACTGAGCCCCATAATCTCACAGGGAGTAGCACTATTAGGTGGCATGGCCTTGTTGGAGGATGTGTTACTGTGGGAACAGGTTTTGAGGTTTCCTATGCTCAGGGTACTGCCCGGTGTCTCAGTCAACTTTCTACCACTCTTGGCTACTTCTCTAGCCTCATGGCTGTCTGCACGCCACCATGTCCCACCATGATGATAATGAACTGAATCTCTGAACGGTAAATCACTACCTCAGTTAAATGTTTTCTTTATACGAGTCGCTGTGGTCATGATGTCTCTTCACGGTAATAGAAACCCTAACTAAGACACTTGTCTAATAGGTAAAAATTTCATGACAAGAATCTCATCAACGATGATCTCAAGCACTTTAAACGTACTGTGAAGTAACTGACATTCTTGGTAGGTCCCTGAGCCACAGGCAATCAGTCATCTTGCTACCGAAGTATCTTTATGCATTACTTCCTCTAACTCTAACCCTGAAGATGTCTGCAAACAGCTGCAAGAACACTAGAGTTTTCATGTCCCCTTCTTCCCTTCTCAGCATTTCCTCCCAAGTGATTTCTACCTTGCGATCACAAAGGTCAAACACACTATCTATCCACACTAGTTTCTACATGCCAAAAGTAAACTTTTACATGTCACAATAAGAAATTGCATATTGCTATCCCTTGGCATTTGTGGGGAATAGGATCCAGGATCCCCTCAGTCCTCAGGTATAGCAAATTCCTCAGACTCTAAATCTTCTACAAAATAGTGCTGTACATACTCATAAGGGATGAATGCATATAACTTAAACTACTTCTAAATAAAATACCTAATGCAATGTGAATACTGTAAATTGTTACTATTGGGGAAATAGTGGTAAGAGCATACTACCAACTCTCCAACTGTATGATAATTTGTTTCCCTAATGCTTTTCTCCTCTATTGCCTCAAAAAATTCTAATGGATGTTCTTCATTACTAAGTTGTTGCCTACAGTTCAGTGTTATCTAACATAAACCCAAATTAACCAATAATTCTATGACTACCAAACAGATGCTACTTCACATTTCTGACTGTCTCTAAAATATTTCAAGAGTCTTAACCACCTGTAACACTCCCTCAATAGCAGCAATACCATATAGTCATTTCCTTCTGTTTTCAGTTATACCATTGGCTTGGGGTTTGGAGACAGGGTCTACTATGCAGGCCTAGCTGGCCCAGAACTCAAAGAGATCTGCCTCGCTTTGCCACTGGAGTGCTGGGATTAAAGATATTACACCTGGGATCATTAATGTTTCCCTGTTTCCTCCTTCCCCTGCCCTACAGGTTGACTCCAAACCAGTAATAAAGTGTTCTCCATATTGTTTCTTTCAAAAGACTTTCACTTTTGTCTTCAAATAGAGACCTGATAGGAATGAGCTCCACACAATATCTGTATCTCCAGTCTGAGAGTTTGTGCTCCTACAAGTCTGTTAAGGCTACCCTAAACTGATCTTGTACTTACTTCAGAGTCAAGTGTTATCAAAACTCTCTTTTACCAGCCATCCCTACTTCTTCCAAAAGACTTTCAAAGGTCTGCCCAGCAATTAGGAATCTAGTTTAAAGGTCACGCGCTTGCCTAGCTAGCAGAGTGCATTGAGGCAAGTCCTTTCCAGGGTTCAGGCACGCTCTGTTCTTGTGTGTCGTCATTAGCAGAGAATTTAATATAGCACCATTATGACAAAGATGCAACCAATTTGTATCAAAATTATCATCCTCGTCAGTCAAGCTCTCAAAGTTAGGTCAGAACTCGACTGTCCTCTCTCCATGTTCACAATTTGCCAACCTTATCAGTTTTCACCTATCTCTCCCTTTTTACAGCCAAAGAAACCACCTTGTCTATGCTAATGTGGACAATATTACTATTGTACAAATGAAAACAATAGGTTCTTGGTTTCTCTCACTCAGCCACTACGTGCCTTATGGGACACCTGGGCAACATTCATTTGTTTGGCTATCACTTTTATAAGGACTCAGGCATTATGCTACCCTGCCCCTGTCACCTGGCAGAATGCACTCAGGCAGTACCCTGGTCAGCCCAGGTGCAAAAGACCCCTTTAAAAAGACCTCTGCTCACTTATGCGCTCTTTCCTGCTGTTCCCCTGGGCAGACAGGACTTTTCCTGTCTTCCCTCTTCTCTTCTGTCTCTTGTCTCTCTCCCTTTCCTCCCCCCCATTTCTATTAAAACTTCTCACTAAAGCTCTGTCTGTCTGACATGTTTGCGCCCCCCCACCCCCACCTTAGTCACTCTCGCCTGCCAGGGAATCCGCCAAGGTTCCTCACGATAATTCCTAACAACCTTTACTAATCAAAACCGGTTCGTCAGAAGTAACTCTTGTAGTCACCCAGGCCTAAGCTTTGTTCTGGATGTTTCCTGTTGAAGTTGACCTTCCGGCAGTAGTGTAGTAGTCTCTCAAAATAAACCTCCTCCTACCTTCTTCAGAGTACTCTGATCCCCCTGGCATGCTCGTCTGTCATTTTGGGAAAGGGCCTGCCTGCTACATAAAAGCCTAAGCTTGCCCTGAAGTCATGAACTACTGCCTCAATTCCATTCGGCACGCCTCAGATAGTTCAGTTTGGTCTCTTTGAGGCTCTACAGGCACGCTTTGCTTGTATTAGCTATTGACAGTTTAACTTTCTATGACGGTCACCGCTTTTTTTTTCTTCTCTTCAACTACACTGTGAACAAGCTATGGGCAGAATTTCTTCTAATAATTCTTTTTCTTTTTTTTTTTTTTTTTTTTTTTGGTTTTTCCAGACAGGGTTTCTCTGTATTGTTTTGGAGGCTGTCCTGGAACTCGCTCTGTACACCCACCTGGCCTCGAACTCACAGAGATCTGCCTGCCTCTGTCTCCCAAGTGCTAGGATTAAAGGCGTGTGCCACCAATGCCCTAATAATTCCGATAATTCTTTCCAAGCAATCAGCATAGTGTTTGTTCATCATGAGTTCTTTACAAAACTAAATTTATAAAAATCAGTAATCTGTTGTATCTGACCCGAGTGGTATTTTCTACTCTAATTTAACTCTCTCTGCACCCAAGCAACAACTGTCTCATTACCGTAGGGGATCCCGAGGCGTTCCTGCTCTTTTCTGTAGCCTTCCAGGGCAGCAGCCCATCTCGTCACTTGCTCTGAGGTTTCATCAGAGATAGTAGTGATATGCTTGGTGCCGTCAAGTGTTATCACTTGGGCTTCTTCAACAAGATGCGCTTCTGCTTCTGCATGGTGGGCATCTGGGTCAATGACCACTTCAACCGTTTCCGCAGTTTTAACAATTTCAAGAATGTTTAGCTTTGGCTCAATTCCTAACAGTGGATAGAAACAAAAATGCAAATTTAAGTTATTTGTATTAAATTAATACAAGACACAAAGAGCTAAGAGTAAAGTTTTATGTTTCCAAATGAGAAAAACAAACTGATGCTCTTGAAACAGTGAGAAACTGAGCAGATCCTCACTTCTAAATACATACAATTGAACAGAAGCAGTACTGTGTCTTGTGATTCCAGAGAAGAGTCTTGAGCACTGTTTTACTGCAGTGCTAGAGATCAAACACAGGGCCACACGAAGGGGAAAATACTCTAACCCTGAGCTCTAGCTCCAGTCTAGGACCCTTGATTTTTAAGGAAACATAGACACCAACAGTACATGTAGAGAGAGAAAATAATCAGGTCTGCAATTTATCCTGAAATAGTTGAAATAAAACGTGTGCTTGAAGAAGTAAAAGCAAATGTAATAAAGTTTAACAGCTATGCAAACAGTATCTAAAAATTCTTTAGCCAAGTGTTCTAAGCTTCAGCAATAATTCACACCTCAGCACACTTGATAAACATTACCTATAAAATGCCATGTAGGAAAAAAGTGCCACTTTTTACAACAGTAGTATAAAAAAGATGAATGTATTGGCATGAATTAAGAACATAGACACTATACTACAGAGTGTATAACAGTACCTAAACACTCTTCGAGATTTTACAAACTTTCTAAGAAAATTAAAATGAGACTCTGTTCTCTCTTTCTTAAATAAACAGGATCACATGAAGCCCAGAGTAGCAACAAACTCACTACAGAGCTTAAGATAACTCAAATTCCTATCCCACTGTTTTTGCTTTCTAAGTGCCAAGATTACAAACCACCATGTTTGGCTCTGTTTGCCTCCTTTTTACTCACGTGCGTGCGTGTGTGTGTGTGTGTGTGTGTGTGTGTGTGTGTGTGTATGTGCGTGCGTGCGTGTGTGTGTGTATAAATGTATATATACATGCACATGAAAGCCAGAGTTCTCATGGGCCAGGATTACAAACTACTATGTTTGGCTGTTTGCCTTCTTTTTACTCACGTGCATATGTGTGTGTGTGTGTGTGTGTGTGTGTGTGTGTGTGTGTGTGTGTGTGTGTGTGTGTAAGTGGATATATACATGCACATGAAAGCCAGAGTTCTCGTGGGCCATCTTCCTCTCTCTTTCTCCACCTTAAGTTCTGAGTCAGGATGTTTCACTGACCGGGAAGTCAGTCAGCCCCAAGCATTTTCCCTTCTCTACTCCCTAACACTGGCCTTACAGATAAGAACCACTAGTCCAATTTTACACGGTGCTGGGATCTGAATTCAGGTCTTCAGGCTCATTCACAAGCACTTGGCAAACTGAGCCATCTCCTCAACCCTTGTCTTCTATCCTAAACATGTGCTGATTTGTTCAATTAAATTCACACCAATTAACCCAAACCCTAAAGACATCCAAGTCCTATATTATTATTAGAACTCCATTCTTGTGGAAAGGACAGAAATAAAGTTGAGGTAAGTAATTTATCACTACAGAGATTCATCAATGGAGATTTAGTCAGGCAAAAATTTAAAGCTATTTCAGAAATCAGAGTTACATTTAGAAATTATATCCTAAGAACAATGGTATATAAACTAAAACTGTTAAGGGCAGGAGTGAGGGTGAATATGATAAAAATGAAACTCTCAAAGAACAAAAATGTTAGAAGAAATAGCTCTTTATGGTATGATTCTGGTATTTATTGTAGTTCAATATACACCACTATCTCATTTAGGTGAAAGGTACTACTTTTCAGCTTTTCCCTGAAGACACAGAACTCCTGAACAAAGCTAAGTATGGGATCACTCCAGTCAAACACTGTAAACAGACAGACTAAAGTTATCGTATGAGAAAAACATGAGCTCCAGTTTTAGATACCTGCCAATGAAAGCAACTTACCTTGGTAAGAGATTACCTGTACACTAAGCTGTACAGTTCCGTCTGTTTTCACTCCTTGGTCAAACAAGCTTCGTTCTGGATCCAGCTAGACATAGGTAAGAGTAAGTGAGATTTTAGCTCAATTATTAGACAGGTTACCATCTATGGTTTAGTATAAATCAATGTACCAAAAAATAATTTCTGAACATACTAATTAAATTATAAGAATATATTTAATTATCAAAGCTGTCACACTATTGATTTGCTAAAACTAAAAATATTTTCACTACTGAAGAAGTAACGAAGACAGCAAAACCCCACCAAATTAATTTTTCTTTTTTTCTTTTTTTTTTTTTGGTGCTAAGTACTACAGTCAGGGAAGGCCTCTAGTATGCCAGGTAGGCATTTTATAGCCATTCCCTGATGTTGCAAAATTATTTCAAGTGGCAGTTTTCTATGGGAGTTCTGCAGTCTCAGCTGAGAGTTTAAGTACCGCACATAGGCAATTTTTCACTCTGTAAATGCATTTAAAGTACAAGACAATGAAAGTCTATCAGATGAGGAAGGATATTAAGTAGTAGCTGTCAATTTGCTAACATATTCATGCCATATCGCCCTGGCAACTAATGCTACATATTAAAACTTAGGATTCACTTGAAAGTCTCTGATGACAAGTTAATAAAATTAAAGAATTCATGATCTGACTATTGGACCTACTTTTGTCATAATTCCATATCCTTGGGACATCAGTGCTTTTTTTCCCTTCATATTCCTTCTAGTAAATTTCCTACCATGGCTTATTAATGAAATAATAATAATCTTGCCTCTGATATTGTGTCACTAGCTTGGAACAGGCTTCCATCATAAATACCCCATGTGTCTGCATATATGCTGAACACACAAATCCCCCTTTTACTGTCATTACCAAGATTTGGTCATGGTACAATCACAATTTCAATTATGTACAATGTCTTATACATAAAATCTTTAGTATTAAGTGGACTATATCCAACTTGAGCAGGACCAAAACTCTGTAACATATAGGTAGGAATGGCTAAATGTGGCAGTTTCTACTCATTAATGTAAATCTTTGCCTGACATTTAAAAATTCTCTGAACACCAGGTCTGGAGGACATTAGTAACTAAGGCCTACATATGCTGAAAAGCTAGTTCCCAGGTCCTGAATATGGCGGCACACTGAGGCAAGGACATACAAGGACATACAACTCAGTGATCGCTCCAGCAGCTTTCAAGTTGGCATTTACTGACCAAGCCAAGGCATTCCCAGAAGCAGCAGGTACTAATGCCAAATGCACGTTTGCACTGACATGGGAAGCCAATGCTGCCATGCTCATGTTCTTTGTTCAGTCGAAGAAAGGTGCTGGGGGGATCTAAAATGCCCACAGATCCAAGCACAGCTCTTAAGTTGATGATGTTATGATTTACACATTGAGAAACTGTGATAGAATGAATAGGCACTTCGCAGGCCGCATTGCATTATGAGGCCAGGTATTCTATCTATCATTACAGAATGTAATAATTAACAAAACGATGAGTTTTAGTGATTGATACAACTAAAAGGGATCATTTGGAAGTATTTTGCAAGTGTTTAACTCAATGCACTGTCTTTATAGCTCTAGATAACCACTTTTAATGACTATTTTGAATTTATGTATTGAATATTCTGTTTTTAAAGATTTACTTTTAGGATCTTTATAAATACACTATTATTACCCACGCAGGTGAGCATTACATAAGAATTCCTTAAAGGAGAGCTGTTGGGTATTTTACATATTTGATTAACATACTAAATATCTGTCTTCTCTTCTCTGCTGAGAAGCTGAGCCAGTTGTCATCATGTAGCAGGCAAAGGAGTTGCAGGTCTGGTAACCAAGACCACATGGAAAAACATGGACTAATAGTTATGGGTTACTAACTAAGTCAGAGCTAGCCAATAAGAAACCATAGCTAACAGCCAACAATTTCATAATTAATATAGTATCATGTGTTTATTTGGGATTGAGGTAGCTGCGGGACATAGCTGTGCCAAGAAAAACTCATGGTACAAAATAGCACATGAATTCCCACATAAACCTGAAAAAAAGCTTAAAAAGGGATTTTAGAAACAAAAGAACAGAGACAAGCACAGCTTCTTGGTAGCAGCATTTTCTCAGATGGTCTCTGTTTTGCTAGAGACAAGCAGAGACTCATGGGGCTCCTTTAAGGGAGGTTTCCTGACAGTCCAAGTGGCAAAAAGCTGCAGGGCTCTTTTAAGTGGCCCTGCTAACAAAAGAGTGGTGCGGATGGCAGTGGCAGTGACCACATCTCCAAGCCAGCAGCACGCTACTTGATGGCGGCATAGACTAAGGAGGCAGTGCTGGCAGAAAACTTATGCCCGCCTTGTTGGAAAGCCTGCAGCTAAAACAGCCATGGCTTTAACTTTAGCCATGTTGTTTAGCAGATAAAAGACATGTGGCCAGAAAAAGGTAAAGATTTACAGTAAAGACAGATTCAGATGAATGAAAACCTCTAAAAGGTTTACCGAGTGTTTAAAAACATATGTAGGCTTGTGAGAGAGAAGAAACAGGATAAAGTGGAAAACAAAAAAGAAATGGAGTAGCTGGGTGTGGTGGTGCAGAGGCAGGCGGATCTCTGTGATTTCAAGGCCAGCCTGGTGTACAGAGTGAGTTGATGAGCAGCCAAAGTTACACAGAAAAACCCTGTCTCAAAAAAGGAAAAAATAAAAAAGAAATAGAATAATAAAAAAGCCATGCAAAGATGGAAAACACACAGAGTTTGGATGCTGTATGCTATTGTGTTGTCTTTGAATTGTTTCACTGCTGAGGAATCAGCAACAACTGCTGAAAGAAACGCTGCTGGATTAATCCAACCTACATATTTTAAAAATGCCTTGACTTCAATGTTTAAGTAGATGTTACTTTGGAAAAGAGATTTTATTTGTGTTTCCACAGAAAATGAAAAGCTGTGGATTCCTTCCAGACTAATATGGCTTGATCAAGCAAGACCCTCTGAAACAGTGGCCGAGGTGATCAAACATCCAAAAACAGCTGAGATGATGTAGTTACAGACCATCACAGCCAGGATTTCTGGGTCTCCTTAGGATCCCCAGGATAGCACTCCCAAACAACAGGAAACAGTTTGCAGATAACAACCACATACCCAAATATTGTTTGTAAGTGTTTGTTTTCATTTACATTTGATTGGTTACAAGTGATAATGATCACAGTCAATATCTTTTTAAAGGAAAAAAGGGGAATATGATATAGAAATGAATACTTTGCACTGGTATGAATTTTCATTCATTGACACAAATTTAAGGTGAATTTTGTTATAAGTAAATTTTTCCTCTTGTTTAGGTATTGTGTTTATACAGATCTTTTAAAAATGTAATGCATAATTAAGTACAGATTGTATATAGTCACCTATAACAGTCAAAACGTACAGTTAGTTTACTTAGGTTTTCTAGAGATAGAGATGTATATTTCTCAAACCTTCCAAAGACCTCCAGAATACGGTGTTTAAAATGGGTTAGGGTTTTTCATGACAGTGATACACAACTGCTCCTGACAGGTCAATTAAGTCAGAAAGGAGGATGGGCATCAAAGAAACTCAATATGGAGCTTGCCTTCAACCCGGCAAGATTAGTCATTTGGGCAAGAAACTGCTCTTGCCAGGACTGTTTGATAAACTGGACATGCAGAACCCACAGGGAAGTGACTGCTCAATTTGATGGGAAAGTCCTAAAGGGTTCCTGCTTCATAGAAGTCTCTGCCAGACATTCTGCAGGACACAGAAAAATGACTGACAAACTGCCAATGCAGGCAGACAGTTTAAAATTTCCTGCTTTGCTGAGAAGTCTGCCAGCCACACTACGGACTATGGGCTGGAGTTGGATGTCCCAACATTTCAGAGGAACTTTGGGTGACTGTTTAGGTACCGAGATGTCTCTGTCAATTCTAGAGTTTATATACTATCCCTCTGTGATCTTTGATGGAGTTGAAGACAGATAGTTATGGTTATAGTTTTTCTTTAGTTAGGATTAAAGATAAGTTCATATAAGACTTTAGACTCACATAGATAGGAGAGATGATATTTTGTATAAATCTTGCTAAATGTTAATGAACTAAATATTGTAACTAAAGTTCTTACTTGATAACTGTTTTGTTATATATAATTTTACTATGTTAATGTTAAAACCCTTCTTTTTATTTAGACAGAAAAGAGGAGATGATGGGGTAAGTCCTTCTGTGTATGTGTTTCTCTTATTGGTTAAAGAATAAAACACCAGTTGGCTGATTGGCCAGGCAGGAAGTGACGTAGCTGGGCAGACTCAGAATATAAGCAGGGACAAACAGAAAATCGCTCTCTTCTCTTCACTGCTGAGACACTGAGCTAGCTGTCATCATGTAGCAAGCAAAGGAGTTGCAGAACTGGTAAGCCAAGACCATGTGGAAATACATGGATTAATAATTAAGTCAGAGTTAGCCAATAAGAAACCATAGCTAATGGCCAACAGTTTTATAATTAAAAAAAAGATACTAAATATCAACTGCTTTCAAAATTCCATACTAATTTACCTTCTCATTACTACGAAGAAAATTTAACGTGTTGCTTTAAGTAGATACAACCATAGTTGCTAATTTTAGAAGAGCAATATTCAAATACCATTAACATTTACTACATGTATATTGAGAGAAAAAAAATATGGTTAAAAGCAACTAATGCATAAATTCTACTAGCATTTCAATTTATTATGTAACAAAGTCTTGTTTAATAGTAACTGCTGAGGGCCTACCTGAGTTTTTAAAACATCAAGGCAAAGTTCTGTAATACATGCAAAAATGCTATCACAAGACAGGCATGAAGATTGCAGACAGTAAAGAATAAGGCAAAGCAAACAATTAAAAAAGATGACAAAATATATTATATATTATCATATATTATGTGAGAAAAGTGTACAATGCTAGTAGTAGTTATTGTAAGTTTAAGAAAAGTCATGAAAACTATGTCTGTAATCTTTTTAATCTTTTTTGTTTGTTTGTTTTTCGAGACAGGGTTTCCCTGTGGCTTTGGAGGCTGTCCTGGAACTCACTCGGTAGACCAGGCTGGTCTCGAACTCACAGAGATCCGCCTGCCTCTGCCTCCCGAGTGCTGGGATTAAAGGCGTGCGCCACCAACGCCCGGCCTATGTCTGTAATCTTACTCAGGTTACTATTCTTAAACATTAAAGCAGTATCTCCTGGAAAAAAATTGTAAAATAAATATGTGACGATGCTTCAAACATACTATAGTACTACATTGGGAAATACTTCAAATTTACTACCAGAGGAGATGCAAAGGAAATACAGTTTAGTCAATGGACCTCATTCTAAAGGTAAGAAAACTCATATAGAAATAAGCTAAGTCAGCCAGCACAAATGTCTTCAATGCTTCCTACCACTCTGTTTTTAGTCTGATTGTATTTCATACTCAGGAAAGTAAAAGGGAATGAGTGACTTGTTCATTCGGCTTAATTTTATTACCCAATCTTTTCAATTTTAGGTACAGGAAGTTTGCTGAAAGAATCTTCATTCCTAAATGCTCACTTTTTAGATGATAGGTCTAGTCTATTCGTAAATATCTATAGAGATAAACCTTACCTGAATGTCTTGCAGGCAAATTTCATGAGCGTCCAAAGAACACTGTAGTCTCGGTTCAAGTAGCTTCTTTAAATTGCCTATTGGTTCATTGATGTCAATGGCCTGGCTTACACATTCAGCTGGAGCGTAGGTCTGTTCCACGATGCTAAATGTTAATGGAGATGAAGGTTAATAATTATACATCACCATGATGTGAAGGTAACATAATGTTCAAAACAAATTTAATACCAAAAACACCTGAGGTCTTTGAAACTCCTTTCTGTGTTCTGAACTAATTTCTTCTTTAATGCTGTGTTAGACTGACCAACTAACGTTGTCAATATGAACACTAAGTCTCATAGCTAATTTGAAACTTTAAGCACTCTTGAAAACATGCTTAGCTATGCATACATATATATGTGCTGAATGTATGCTATCTAGGCAGAAATGAGTGCCTTTATTACATCTCAAGTTATTTTCAAGAATTTAGGGCCCAGAAACATTGCAATACATTGTGTTCTTAAAATGCTGAGAAACCTACTGGATGCCACGCAAGCCTATAGTCACAGTACTTGGGAAGCAGAGGCAGAAGGATCCTTTCAAGGTCATCCTTACTTTCTTGGAGAAACAGAAACCAGTTTGGGATATATGAGCCCGTATCTCAAAACCCCATACAAAACAAAACAAACAAACAAAAATATCAAACCAAAATTTTATACATTTCTACTAATCAATCTCCTTCCCAATATAATCTAGTAAATATAAATTGAGAAGGTATAACAATATAAATACTTCCACTTTAACTTGAATACTAACCAATTATTACAAATTAGCCTCACTCTATATTATTATTATTATCGGTTTTTTGAGACAGGGGTTCTCTGCAAAGCCTTGGCTGTCCTGGAACTCATTATATAGACCAAGCTTGCCTGGACTTCACAAATCCCTACCTGCTTCTGCCTCCCGAGTACTGCGATTAAAGGCTTGCACCACTACTGCCTGGCTGGTCTTAGAAAATTATATTGTCTCTTAAAACTTACTTAGAGCTGTCTCTGCATTGTTATTTCATAATTCCAATTTTAAAGCCTTGATAAGCAATTGTATGTATCTCTTGTAAATGTGTACAGTAAATCAAAGACTGACAAAATAGTATTTACTGAATTATGTTTCATAACACATTTACTTTAAATATGACTTAAGTCTCTTTATAGTTATAAAATATGTATTAAATACGTTAGTATGACGTGGGAGCCACAGAGATCCCTCGGCGGTTAAGAACACTCTGGAACTTGAGTTGGTTCTGAGCCCACCTCAGGTGACTCACAGCCACCTGAAACTCCAGTTGCACGCTGATCTGATGTTTTTAACCTCCGCTCACACCTGAACTCATCCGCACATACTCACCCTCAGACATATAAAAGCTAGGGACAGCTCAGTAGGATAGCACTTCCTGCGCTCAGTGAGTACCAGAGTTTGCCCCCCCCACCCGTGTAAAGCCAGATATGACAGCACTCATGTCACCTGTGTCCTGTGGGAGAATGGGAGAGAAAGCAGAAACCCCAGGCCAGCTGGGTGGGCCTGTGCAGCCCCAAACATGAGAGAGAGATCTGTTTAAACAAGCTGGACAGTGAGGACCAACACCTCAGGCTGACCTCTGACCTCCACATGCACACTGTGGCATGCGGGCATCAACATTCAACACATACTAACATGCATAAAATTGCATGAGTGTGCACACATACACAATTTGTCATTTTATTTTTACATTATTTTCCAAGTATAATACATATACATATACATATATATACATACATATATTTAGTGAGCATATACAAGTCGTTTCTTAAAATAGTTAAAATTCATAAAACAGAATCATTCATTATTAAAAATAATATTATCTTAAAATAATAGCAAATGATCACTCTTGGATAATATAAAGGAGGTTATTTTTTGACTAAGTGAGCACTTTCAGCATATTTTTTCAGCTATAAGCACAGAAGCCTATCTTTTTTAGTAATAGTGATTTTTAAAAGATCCAAATGCTACTTTAGAACAGATTCTAAAATTTCACTTCTATGTATACTGAGTATTAAGTTTTTCAGCGTTTTCTGTTGTAAACTTATAAACCTTGGGAAATCTAAAAATCTTAATAAGCAGCTCCTTACGTATACGTGAATGATCTCACATTATTGTTCCTCAATTCCTGCAATGCAATTAACTGCTGTAGTTGAAGAACACCTATGGCCAGCCTCCTGTACACTGCTAGTCTCCCACCCAGACACAGCAAAGGGCCTTTGACAAACACTGACCTGAACAGGGGTTGAGCTGTGTGAGCAAATGGTACAGGTTTCTTAGGCTGAGTCTTTAAAAGGCACCGTGGCTTCTACCGTGGCACCCTCTCAGACTATCTGAAAAGGCACCGTGGCTTCTACCGTGACACCCTCTCAGACTATCTGAAAAGCCCCAGAGAAAGGCTCACTGGACACACTATGGCTGCCTGCCAACCACATCAAGAGCGATCTCTGGGGCAGATACTGTAGACCCAGATCAAAACCACCCAGTGACGCTGATCCTGGTTCCTGACTCTCTGAAGCACCTGTCAGTAGTGTGTGTGTGTGTGTGTGTGTGTGTGTGTGTGTGTGTGTGTGTGTATCTGTGTGCTATCGTGCATCTGTATTTGAGAGAAGCATGCATTCTATTCTTCTGCTGGTCCTCTGCTACTCCACAGAGCCCACCATGACCTTTCACAGCCCCAACTAGATCCAGTATATTATCTTGTCTCCTGTAGTATATTAAGCGTATTAGCTTGTCTCCCACAACCTCCTCACTGGACTTTTCTCAATCTGTTTCTATCAGACTCTCTCCCTTGATTCTGAATTCATCACTACCCCCTTTTCAAGTAAGACCCCATTGTCATTCCAAGCAGCAACATTTTCACTGTTATGCTCAGTGCTGTGCACACAAGTGTTTCTAGAACAGTATGTCTCCTCAAACGCAATAAAACTTTCGTAAGGACATTTAAAAATGTCTTATTTTACCCATTTTATTCCTGTCGGTTACCAATATATAGCAGCTATTCATAAACAATGCTGAATTCGGGTTGAATTAAACTGTCTTTGAAATAAGGAAATGCCTTTTAGAAGGGGGTAGGGGCCAGCTATTATAGCTATGATCACTATCAACTACGTTTGCTACTGCTTATATTTCAAAAAATGCCTTTGTTTCTATTAAGTTGGAGGGAAAACCAAAAATAAACATATTTGGCCCAGTCCTTGACTGTAACCTGGTATACCAAAAATATTAAAAACTGATCAATTCAGAAATGCTGACCTCTCTTCTGTGCACTCTGGTTTCTCAGTTCCATCAATCTCAATTTCTATCAGTTCTTCTGCTTCTCTCTTAGTCATGGCTGAAGTATTTCAAATGTTCAGTCCTGGAAAAGTTAAATTTTAGAGAGATTTTTTAAAACATCGTATGTATAAACAAAAAGGATATGCAAGAAAATGGGCAAATCTGAGTTAAAGCAGAGGGAGAAGTGCTCTTTATATATGTGAAGGCTCATGCTCAGCATTTTTAGACTAGTTTCGTTTAAACCGGCACTTATTAGCTTGATTTAGTAATTTCATTCCTTTATTCACTGGAACTTGCTAGCCCAGTCTAGGTCAGTAAGTTCATCCAAGACACTACAAAAGTAAATGGAAGTTACAGCAAGTATATTGAAGCATCGCGGATTCAAACCTGAAGGTTAACATGGAGATGGATTACAGCTGTCGAGCTAAGAATCTGATCCGATTACACAGGTTAAAAGTCTTGTATAATGCCCAAGTTACAGAGCAGTAAAGATACCTACAGCCTGAAAGTGACTATTAAGTGGAACAGAACAAGCCTTGCTAATTAATAACCAAAGAGAGAGAAAAAAAATGTGGAGCAAACTACACAAAGTTGGCAAAGCATAGCAGACACAGGAAATTCACACGAAAGCAAACTACAGCAATTCAGGGTATGAAGAAATGCACAGGTACCAATCATTCCAAAATGACATTTTCTCACTTTGTGTCGTGCATTTCCTAGAAAAGACAGCCAACATTAGGGAAAGTACAGCATGTACATCTGTGTTGTGTGCGTGTGTGTGAAGAGCAAAAACCAAATCTGATGAAGTTAAAAACCCAAGACCCCTCTTCAGGTGAAGGGCGTACGGTTTTTCAAAACTATCATTTTTCTTTTCAGCCAAAAGACTCTGGTGAAGTGTTAGCTCCGTACTTGGCCCTACTTGCTCTCCTAACTCTTTCCACCTCCATCTCAGTACTTCACTCACTACTCTAAGAAACACGTCTGTACTTCAAGCACAGGTAAAACGGACTTACGTCCACTCTGCACCTGGGTATGCATACAAGTAAGAAAAAAAGCAAAGGAGCTAAAAAAAAAGAGGTGGAGTTAAAGACAACTGTGGGGTACGTGACAGCGGTGAATCTTTCAAATCCTTCCCTCTTGCCAGCACTCAAGACCCATCATTAGTTCAAACTACCCATGGGTCTTTGAAAATCGCATTCACTCATTGCTAGGCGTGGTGGTGGTGCGCCTCAATGCAGCGCTCAGAAAAGCAGAGGCACGCAGACCCTGCGTTGTAGGCTAGCCTCGTCTAAATAGCAAGGTCAGCCGGGGCTAGATGGGGAGGCATGTTTTGTGTTTGTGTGTGCACACTCGTGGACCGCACGCGCGCCTGTGTGTGTGCACGCACACGCGTGGACCGCAGAGGGCGGCTGGCGCACTCGAGTTCCCGGGGCTGAACTCTGGGGAGTCAGTCGGGCTTGGCAGCAAGTGGCTTTCCTGTCGAGCCGCGTCGCTGGCTGGCCTGCCTGTGGGTTTGTTTTCCAGTGACTACTCATCATCTTGGAACGACGCATCGGCACCATTCTCTAAGCTGCTGGCCCCGGGGTGGCGTCCCTAAAAGCCGTCGTTGTGTTTAGGGACCAACGAGCGGGGTAGGGGGGAAAAAGCGGGCAGGCTACGTCAACCTTTACTGAGTCCTTCCTCTAAGCAACACAAAGTCACCGTAAAGATCGGCGTGGCGGCACTGCAGGGGAACGGGGGAGTCGGGCGGCAGAGCCCCGGGAGCGCCGAGCGAGCGCGTCCCCAGCGTCCCCGCCGCGCGGCCCCGGCCCACGCCGCTCCCGCGCCCCTCCCCTCGGCTCCCCGCACAGCCTCTCCCGCCCCTCCCCACCCGGCTCCCTCAAGTCTCCACGAACGGAAATGGGAGTCGCAACGCCGGGGACCAGCGGAAACAAAACACAGAGGCGGCCGCGGGGGGGCCGCGCCGGGGAGAGGGGGAAGAAAAAGCCCCGGAACCAGGCCGGCCGCGCGGGCCCGCTCTCCCCGCCAGCCCGCGGCCGCACTCACCAGCTCCGGAATCCGCCCCGTGGCCCTCGGCCGCGCTCCACAGCCGGCTGGGAACGGCGGCAGCGCGGGCTCCACGTGCAAGCGCCTCTGCGGGTAAAGCCACGCCGCTCCCGCGACTCGCAGACTCCGGCCCCGGGGCCCTTCCCGCGGAATCGGCGCTCAGGAACCCCAGCCCCTCTCCCGCCTCCCAGGCACCCCCGGGCCTGGAACTACAACTCCCAGCAGGGTGCGCGGCACGAGCGCCCGCCGCAACGGAGGCTCACGAGGCACAAACGCCGCCCCCTCCTAGGCCGCTTGGCTTTTTTTTTTTTTACGCGCTCGCTTTCCTCCCCCCTTCCCCCCGCCCCAAGGAACAAGACGCTGACTCCGAAGGGAGCTTGAACTAGGAGAGAGCGAAAGTACGCATGCGTGCGGCGCACTGTTTCCAAGAGGGAACTGGGGGTGGGGGGAGGGGCCCGAAGTGAAGTGAAGGAAAGATGGCGGAGTCTTCGCGAAGGGACCCGGAAGCACTTGCCCTCCACTTCCTCCTCCCGCTTGGCTTCTGTCTCACCTAGAGGCGTCCGGTCGCAGGCCGTCTTCCCAGGCGCTTCCTGTCCGGTGAGCGTCGAACGACTGCGGCGGCCGCCCACAATGCACCGCGCCGGCGGGTAGGCGTGTGGAGGCGGGGCCAGGGCCGGAAGTCGGGCGGCGGCGGCGGCGGCGGGGACTCTGGCAGCTTGGGACGCGGTGCAAGGTGACTGGGAGGGTAGCCGGGCTGGCCCGGCCTCTGGGGACGGCGGTTCTGGGTTTCCTCACGGCTCCGGGGCCGCCCGTCACCTCTGCTCCAGTGGGAGACGGGGGCTGGGCGGGGAGGGGAGCCGCGTGCCCTTGGCGCCTCGGCGGCCTGGCCTGAGGTCACCGGTGCGCCGGGTGTCACACCGGCCTGGGGCGCAGCGCGGGCAGCCGCGCGGAAGGCGGGGTGGCGACGGGTCCGCAGCCCGCCCGGGCCACCCCAGGGCGCAGCCCCGCGAGGGCCGCTGGAGAAGGGTGCACGAGCTGCCCGAGCGCCCTGGAGGCCTCGGAAGAGGCGGTGTCCCCGCAGCTCGCCCCCAGTCTGGCCACGACGGGACGCGGACAGCTTTGTGGGTGCACTCGATGAGTCGGTACTAGCGGGCAGCCCGCGGGCTCGCCCCCGGCTGGGCCCCTGGGTCATCGCTGCAAAGAAGCCAGGCTCCTTCCCAAGGCTAAGCCTCTGGGTTTGCACTAATCTCCCCCCAGCCCCCACGCCTTCCCCAGTATGGCTGCGAGCTCCTGACAGCACACCAGCACAGGATTCTTGTTCCCGATGACGTTTTACACTTCGGGTCATGTTTGCCTGCTATGTGGTAGTTGAGCCGTCCGTATAAGGCCTTCTTGTTTATTTGACCTTTCACCTGTATAATTCGCTGGTAGATTGTGAGTGACACATTAATGAAGACTTTAATTCTTCAAGTGTTTGCATCCTGGTTGGTGAAGATCTCTGTGCTTCTTTGACTTCCTTGAGCAGTCCTGGATGTCACTATAGAAGTTGCAGCTGTCAGCACTTTAGACTGGATAACTCTTTGAAGTGAGGAGAGTGGAGAGGGTTGTTATATTGCTTGTTGTAGGGAGTATAGAAGTGTGCCTGATGTCTCTACCCACTAAAGGCTGCCTGCATCCAACCCATCCAACTACAGTTGACTTCACACAGCAAATGTGCCCTGGGAGAGAAAAGTACATGTTTAGTAACCATTGTGTCAGTCTGCTGGCTTGTTGTTAATGATAATCAAACTTTCAGTGATAAAGGGCTACTCCAACCCTTCCATGCAATTGTGTGTGTGTGTGTGTGTGTGTGTGTGTATACACATGTGAGTACGGGTGCGTGTGCCCCAAACATTTGCCCTTTTGTGCCTCCCCAGTGCTGACATAAGCTTGCTCCCAGTCCTGACTTTAAAAAACAAAAAACAAACAAACAAACAAAAAAAAACAAAACAGAACTCACAGGCTCTGAGGATCAAATGCTATTCCTTCACCGCTGCTTTTGTAATTGTCATTGTTACTAGGTTCAAGAGACACATTAATTTGTCAAATTGCTGTGAGGATTAAAAATCCTCGTTCCTAGTTTCTCCACTCATAAACAGTAGCAGTATGCCCCATGCCAGTGGTCCTTTCACAGTCCAGTAGAAGTCAAGTGTCAGTAGGCAGATACAGATGAGATCTGGGGTGAGCATGAGAAGCATGGTTGCTTAACAGGTTTTCTTCAGGGATTTGAGTGGCCCTTTTCATTGACAGTTTGAGAAGCATTAACTGTATGACAACAGACTATAGCACAATGACAATTAAACAGATGTAAGGTAGGAGAGAGCTGTTTTGTTTCCCAGGGTAGTTTTACTGTCTAAAGAAATGTTACACAACTATCCATTGAAATGTGGCCCTTCTATTGCCATTTCAATTACTGGGGTTTGGTGAGCCCTTTTACTTTATAAGTTAAGTCTAGATCTGGAGAAATTTTTCTTCTAGGTTTCAGCCTCACTGTCTCCTGGCTTTGAACTTCCTGCTTGGGTGTATTTGTTGTGATTTGTAATATTTTTGTGTTTAACCTTTAAATGGTTAACTCAGGTCTCAACAAGAATTCCCTGTCCTTTAATGTATCTATCAACATTTTCAGCTAGAAAATTAATTTGTTTTAGCTTCAGGAGGTCTATGGACTAGAGCAGCTTTAAGCTCTGACTGTTAAACTTTTCACTTTGACCTGCAAATGTCCTCTGCTGAGCTCGTGTCATTTGATCTCTCTGTTAACTGCAGGGCTCGCTTGGTGTGGTTGCTGTTTTTCTTTGCTGTTTCTTTTGGAAGTCGATTTGGTTGTTACAATGTTAAGTGACCAGGGTCCTGCCGTTGTTAGCAGGCAGAGCTCTTTTCCTTCCTGTGGACCTATGAAGTAGACGTTTCCGGCCTCTCAGTCCTGGCTAAGACAACTGTCCTTACTCCCTTTGTCCAGCTCCCCGTGGCCCTTAGAGGTCGTGGAAGCTGGCACATTATGAACAAATTGCCCTTTCCTGCTGGAGACAAATAGTGTTCTTGATCAGCCTCACCTCACTGCTTCCTCAGGTCCAAGATTAAGTTCCTGGGAGGAAAAAGCACCACCCCAGATTTGGTGCTTTCTCTCTGCTTTAAACCTAGTAGAACTCTCAGCTATTCCTGTGTCCCAGAGCCTTTTGGTAAGAAGCAGAGGCCTTGTAAGGGAAGGGCCATTGCATATGTCTGCCTGGCCAGACATAGCCAAGTTCTGGTGTAATGTGGTTCTCTAACTTAATCACAGAACTGTGTCTGGCCACGTGATGTATATGAAGTGTTGGTGAAAAGTCCTTAACCTTCTGATGCTTGTCTAGTACCAGGGATCGCCATGATTCTTCAGAGGATCTTCAGGCTCTCCTCTGTCCTCCGCTCGGCAGTCTCTGTGCATCTGAGGAGGAACATTGGGGTTACAGCGGTGGCATTTAATAAGGAACTTGATCCCATTCAGAAACTCTTCGTGGACAAGATAAGAGAGTACAAATCAAAGCGACAGTAAGTGGGTAGATGACGAAGCACATTGTGAATATAAATATTCCAAGTTTGTAAATTCCAAGATGTAATTTCTCACTGTGTCTTCTTTCAAAGACTCCTGGGAAAATTCCAGTACGTCGGTTGTCATTTGAAGTATAGCACAGTAATGTCAATACAATGAAATAAGTCAAGTCACAGAAGTACACAGCTTCTTGAAATAATTTAGTAGCTATTTAAGAAAATGGAGTCCTGTAAACAATGGTTAGCTTAACATCCTAAAACTAAGAATGCCCAGCACTCGGGAGGCAGAGGCAGGTGGATCTCTGTGAGTTCGAGGCCAGCCTGGTCTACAAAGTGAGTTCCAGGACAGCCTCCAAAGCTACAGAGCAACCCTGTCTCGAAAAACCAAAAAAAAAAAAAAAAAACTAAGAATGATTGGACATATCATACAGAGAATTCCAAAGAATTTTGGCTTTTTCTATGACATGATTTGGGGGTGTGCATAAACAGCATTTTTCTCTTTAAGGATGTTTCATGGTGATATACCTATAGAAAAATCAAAGAACAAAGGACTTAAAATAACCTGAAGTAGGACTTAGAAAACAAAGCCATAATTGCAAACCACATATTTGAGATGAATGTCCAATTTATTCATCATTTGGTTCAACCCTTAAATCTTAGGAAAATGATACACAGCCGTGTGTAATTCTTTTCTTTGGTTGTCTGTCATATACAAAGAACATGGCTGCTAACTGCTATGGGCCATGTTTTTACAAAATGTAGATTCTTAAAACCTGACAGAAGTAGAAAGCTTATAAAAGAGTAAATGGTTAGATGCTAGGTGACATCTAGTGTTTGAAGAGTTGAAAGGAAAAACACTTCTTTGTAGCTGGAGACATTTTTGAAAGGCATATTGGAAAAGTTCACATTAGGGCTTTGAAGGCCGTGTTTGGGTTCATTCTGCCCTTTTGAGTGTCTCATGGACAACTGTAAATCATCTTCCCAGCATAAAAAGGAAAAAGAATTTACTCATGATTTTGCTTATAGGCTGTTCTCAATCACCTGGAAGACACACCCAGGACTATACTAGGTTAAGAATAACAGATTTTTTTTTTCCCTTTGGTTTTTCAAGATAGGGTTGGTCTGTGTAGCCCTAGCTGCCCTGGAACTTGCTCTATAGATGAGGCTGGCCAAGAATAACAGTTTTAGAGAAAAATGATGTCAGATTAAGGTATGAAAACTAGAAAATATGAAATTAGTTTGAGTTACACTTTTGATCCCAGAGGTATAGGGCATAGGAAGAGTATGCTCAATTGAAGCATGAACTTTGTAGATGAGTGTCCAGTTAAAATGTTATGTTGGTTCATTTTATGTCAACTTGACATAAGCTAGAGTCATCAGAGAAGAGGGAACCTTAGTTGAGAAAACGTCTCCCTGCGATGGAACCATAGGCAAGCTTGCAGGGCATCTTCTTAGTTGGTGGTTGATGTGGAAGGGCCCACAGCACGGTGGGTTGGGCCACCATGGACTGAAGGTGACATGAATGAAGTGTAAGTCAAGTGTTCCGAACTGCCAAGCCGTCCTTAGCAGCTCCCGGGCGTAACATATCAGGCGTCCAGGGTCTGCGTTTTGCTGGGGGTTTGTTTTTGTTTTGTTTTACTGGTTCGGGCTTTTTTATTTGAACTGCATAATTTTTCATATACTGCAACATAGATCCTAAGAGGGTGTGATTAATACTTATCTTTGACGCTAACAGACCTTGAATGCTAGAGATTTGTTTGAAGTTACCTCATCTCTGAGACCTGTTCTAAAACAAGTTTGAACTAAAATTCAAATACTAAATTTTCTTTCTCCTCATACGTGTACCTTTAAAGTCTCTTAAAGCTTGATGGTAAAGTATAATTTTAATTATGTTTTGTATTCTAAATAGCGCATAAAATCATTTTCGCTTTTTAATTGCACACTAGGGCATCTGGAGGACCTGTTGATACTGGCCCTGAGTATCAGCAAGAGCTGGACAGAGAGCTTTATAAGCTTAAACAGATGTTTGGTAAAGGAGACATGAATACGTTCCCTACCTTCAAATTTGAAGGTAAGTTCTACTCACAAACTAAATTTGGGGGATTACTGTAGGTTGAGTATGTATATTCATGTACTTTTTTTTTTTTTTTTGGTTTTGGTTTTGGTTTTTCAAGACAGGGTTTTCTCTGTGTAGCTTTGGAACCTATCCTGGCACTCGCTCTGTAGACCAGGCTGGCCTCGAACTCAAGAGATCTGCCTGCCTCCCGAGTGCGGGGATGAAAGACATGTGCCCGAGTACATTTTCTTTTGGTTGTTTATGCTAGGGTCACACCTGGGACCTTGCCTCTGTTAGGCAAATGCTGTCACTGAGCTGTACTTAATTCTTGAGAGTATTTTTTGGATTGTTTGGAGGTTAGGTGACAATTACATGTGAAGTCCCTACAACCATAATGTGTTCCTAAGAAAGCACTCGGGACACTATTTTACATGGGTGCAGGAGAGTACAGGAATTATGATACCTTTCTCATTTGATTGGTCCAGTTATACAACCCTGTTTATGCTGTATAGAGTAATAGAGAGCCCTAATCACAGAACCTGTTGAAAGTTTGGTGATTGTTAGGTTTCTCTATACATGGTGAAAAACAAATATTTTCTTAAAAAAAATCTTAAAACTGGTAAACTTCAAGCTTTGTAGTTAATCTTGTTATTATAGTATGGCTAAGTCTGAAACTTTTCCCTCTTTTTAGATCCCACATTTGAAGTCTTCGATAAACCCCAGTCCTGAAGGATATTATAAAATTTGTCTGGTAATTTGTCATGAATTAGTTATACAACTAATTTAAAAAATTCGAATAAACATTCATTTCACTGTTATCAAATGTCGTTTAAATTATTTAGTAGTGATATGGAGTATGTGCCTGGCGTTGATTTGTCTCTGGGTTATTTGTAAATAATTTCATTTTGTTAGACTAAGGAGATGGAGACTTTGGAGGAATTGGGTAGAATTGCCTTATTCCTATTAGACTCCCCAGTGTGCATTGCTGTCCTCTTTCATAGTGGAGACCATCACCTAAGGGAATGCTTGCTGTGAAGGGAAGGATGTTATAGTTACGTTTTTTTTTTTAGGGGGGGGTTGTTGAGACAGGGTCTCTCTTTAGTCCTGACTGTTCTGGATGTCTGTAGACCTGGCTGGCCTCAAACTTACATAGATCTGCCTGCCTCTGTCTCCTGAGTTCTGAGATTAAAGGAATGTTCCACCACCGCTCAGCTTTTCCTTCCTGAAGGAGTGGTTCTATATCCTTTATCATGGCTTTCTTAGGAAACTCTGTAACTTACTATGCACAGAGATGTCGGTTGTGTCTTAATCACTGCTAGCTCAGACTGATGTCCCTCATTTTTACCTGCAGGTTATAGTATGTGTGGATTCAGGAGGGAAGGTGGTTTGGAACAGAAGGCTCTAAAAACATAGAACTACGTAATGTTCTTTGATCCAACCGTAAAAGAGCCAGCAGCTATATCCTGAGGATATTTCAAAACTGTGGGTGACGCTCAAGGAAGTTAGTCTTTTAAAGTGAATAGCCCTGTCATCTTTTAACTGACGTGTCAGTATATGAGTTGTTTTTTTAAACCTCTAGCTTCCTTGGGGGCAAATTGAATAAGATATTTCATAACTTTGATGCTCTCTGGCCAAGTCCTTCTCTGTTTTTCTATGCCTGTCTCTATGTCTCATTCCTTGCCATCACTAATATATTTGTACTCACTTAAGCTTACATGGACTGCACGAGTGGGGGACTGGAAATTTTAAGATGGCACGGTCTTTGAGCAGTAAGGAGCAATCATACTCAGTGCAGTCATCATTTTCTGTAGAAAGTCAACACTGGTCTCTGAGCAGAACTGCCCTGTTAGCCCCTTACATAAGTATATCTTTATGAATAAACCTTTTTTCCTCTCTTCTCTGTATTGCCCTAAAGTCTAGAAAGATAAGTTCCTGGGCTGGAGAGATGGCTCATCCATTAAAGGCGAGGCTCACAACCAAAAATATAGAAAGGTAAATTCCTGCATCTTCAGTTACTTCAGGGAGTTCAGCGGTAGTTTACAAATGAAAAAAATGGGGATAATAGTATGGTTCTGTGATCACAATACTTGAGAAGTGAAGACAGGAGGATTGGGAGTTCAAGGCCAGCCTGAGTTACATACTGAGACCTTGTCTCAAAACAGAAGTAGAGTAGCAGTGATTTCTTTAGAAATCCAGCTACAGATCATGGAGATATGCTCAACTTTGTATATCTTTAAAAACATTTATCAGTAGCACATTAAAAGCAAAAAAATTGATCATAAAAAGGGTATTAGAAAGTATCTGCCTTTAGTCTTAAACTAAATGGGCCCGTCATTGAAACACATTATTTTGAGAGCATTTTATTTTATAGAAAGTAAAAAGACATTATAATGTGCCTTTGTATTTAAATTGGTAAATTAAAAATGACACATTAAATATGACACATGTATAATGGTACCAACAAACATGATAGTTCACTTAGATTTCTTGACCATTTATTACTGCTAAAATGTTCCAAACCTTGCTGAACAAGAAGCGCGATGAAAAAGGTCTAAGAATTGTGTGTATGGGACTAAAGAGGTGTGTCTGTGGAGAGATGGCAGCTCACAACCATCTGTCTCTGGCTCCAGGACATCTGATTCCTTCTGATGTCTCACGGCACAAGCCATGCGTGTGGTGCACAGTACATGTAGGCAGCTACTCGCATATGTAAAAAAATTTGTGTGGAAATGGAGACCTAATTGTTAGAATGGAAAATAATTTCTGTCATTGTAAATTCATGTAGTAATAATTCATAGACCACAAACTGAGTTGTATCAGAATATAATGTTTTATTAATATCCTAAATAGATGCTTACACTTAACCATTCCTTGTGCTTAACAAGTATTCAGCATGTTTTCATGTTAGATACTGTTAACTACCTTAGGGTTTATGAAGACCTGTACAGCATGAATTGGTCTTTTCTTGGAGTTTCAGATTGGTAGAGAGGTTCAGATATGTCCATACCTATCTGTGCTATAACACAGAAACAAATAAATATCACAAAAGAATCAAATACCTTGGGAATTCAGAGAAGAAACTTGCAGTTAGGGAATGAGAAGGCTGTGCTAGAGAGTTGAATCTGGCTTGTCTGTTAGGAGTAGATAGAATTTCCATAGCTTGTAATGAGGACTAGCATTCTAAGGGAAGTACTGTAAAGAAATGTATTCAAAAGGGCAGAATACCTTGTAAAGACAAACAGTTCAGTTTGATCGGTGAATAATAAATAATGCAACCAATGAAGACAGTGGGATATAATATGAGAACTTACATGTAAGGGGACAGGATTCCCAGCTGTGCAATGTAGACTTGCTTAGATAAAGGAAGAGTGATAGTTAGCCAGGGGAAGAGGGAAGGGAGTTAGACACCACAGTATGTAGGCAAACTGTCAGATGGGGTGAGAGAAGGATGCCTTAGAGCAAGCAGGAGAGGGTAAGTGATTGAAAGAGGTTCTTGAGAGAAGGCCCCAGAAAGAAATAACTAAAACCTGGCAGACCAGTTTTAATGGCACCACGAGGAGGTTAGAGATGGGATGGGGTGGCTGTGTGGCTAGGATTTACATATAACATTGTTGATGACTAACTAGCATTAGAAGAAAAAGGAAATTGCCAGAAAACGGATGGAACTGGAAGGATTAGGCTCAAACACAAATGCCACACATAGCTTTGAATTCTAGCTTCCAGCTACTGAGTGTGTATCTAGGTGGGAGGGGATGTGAGTAGAATCCAGGGAGGGAGGGGTCCATGAGATGAGATAGACTTAAGAGTCGGGTGGGGAAGATAGGAACGAAGATGGAGTTCCTGTCCCTCCTGGTCCTGCAGGCCCAGCTTTCTAGTTCCAAATAAACACACAGAGACTTAAATTAATTATAACCTTTTTGGCAATGGCGCAATCTTATTGGCTAGCTCTCTCTTAATTATCAACCCATTTCTATTAATCTACTTATCTCCACTTTGTCTTTGCTTAACGGTGATACCTGGCCCTCTTGCTCCCTCGTCAGCTACATGGCGTCTTTCTGGCATCTTCTCTGTGCATCCTCTCCCCAGAATTCTCCCCGTCTGGTAACCCTGCTGATACCTCCTGCCTGGCCACTGGCCAATCAGTGTTTTATTCATCAACCAATAAGAGAAACATACTCACAGCATACAGAAGGACCTCCCCCATCATTGGACAGAATGTAAGGAGAATACCGAGAGCCATGATGGCCTTGCATAGGAAAGGGGGCAGGAGACAACTAATCCACCAAAATGAAATATAATTGGAAATGTTACTTTGTAAGATACATTTTAAAATACCAAGTCAGCAATCTGGAAATCAGAGTGATGAAGCTATGTTTGAGGACCAGGGAAGGGTGGATGAGCCAGATGTTGCTGGGATGAAGAGAAAGTAGAGGGACTGGAGAATTTAAAATGAAAAAAAAGTGTGAACCGTGGGTCAGGGGGACATGTGTTCACAAAGACCCCAACCCCTCCAGCAACTGCACTGCAACCCTGCGAAGTCACCAACGCTGAAACGTGAGGCTCCTCTTTATTCCTCTGAGAAGAGGATGGGACTGCACTCCTTATCCGCAACCTCACACACACAAAGCATCCACTAAGTAGTTTTCCCTTTTTATTCTCTGCCTTAGAAGTTGGCAGGTATCCAAGCTGAGCGATGGTGAGATTCCCATCTCAAGCTGTTGAAGAGCTACCTCACAGTGGCAGGTGGTAAGAGGGAGGGGTTTCCTGGCTTTTACTGAACAATAGGTGAGTGACTTCCTCCTGCTCTGTTGAATGGAGCTTAAAAGCTGAACTGCCTGTAGCTATTTTTGTAATGTGGACTTTAATCCTGAGTGAGCTGTAGAATGAAGGAAGTTCTTTGTAAAGTTGTATTGAAAATAAACACTCATACTTAGGTAAGTTAACCCCCACCCTAACTAAAAATAAGTTGGCTCTAGTTTCAGTAGCAACAGTACTAAAACAAAAGTTGTGACCATAGTTTCGAGAGCCCTATCACAGGTCCACTGTAGAAAAACACAATCAAAATGGCTACAAACTATAATTTGATGTTGTTAAACTTTTCATGTTTAAGATTCAGAAAACTGCAAATGGACAAGTATGAATGGCAGTGACCCCTGATAGACTTATCTAGAAAATTAGTGCTTGCAATTACAGCCTTTGTGTAGAAGAACATCTTCTTTAGTCAATGATTTCTGCTTAGCTGTGTATAGTGTTTTAGTTAATAATGTATAACAAGTATGTGGCACAGACTTTTAGGTTTTTACGTTGCATAAAGTGAATCTTTAGGCTTCAGTGTCTTAAAAGGAAGCTTTATACCTATTAGCAAAATTAAGGCACTACATAATTGTTCTCTTACACTATGGATTTGTGTCATTTAAGTTAAAGGGTTGATCTTATGATGGTGGTATATGGCCTGAAGAGGCATCCTTGAAAGTTATATATCTACTGCAGAAGGACAGCATTCCTTCTACCAAAGCAAATCTCATTCTCATGGCATAGGCAACACTTCCACTGATTCCCTATACACCACAGGTGTTTCTTTGTCATTTGGTACCAGGAGTGAGGAGATTGGGCAGGTGGGCAATTCCCACCTGAAACTTTTATTGGAACAGAGGCACACTTGCTTGCTTGTTCTCTACATCGTGTGACAGAGTTGAGTGGTTGCAACAGGAACTGTGGGAGTTAAAATGTCTACTGTCTTGTTCTTTGTAGAGTTTGCTGGCTCGACTCAGTGTGAATCTGACCTTGAGAGCAGAGCCATGTCACAGAAGTTAGACTTTTAGAAAGGAGTCTGTTGAGAAGGATTCGAGGCCACAAAGTTACAGCAGAGCAGTATGGCAGTGGGCAACTCCTCAGTGACCTGATCACTACTCAGTGACCACCTCTTCCATCTGTTCAGGGAGACCTGAATCTGCTTTGCCTTTCAGGTAGAAAGAACAAATTCTTTTGAAGCTAATTTGACCATGTTCAAAGCTGACATGAATGACCTTTCCAGGCTATTACCTAGAACTAGACACTCCTACTTAAATTTTGTTTTCAATAGGGGTAAGCCTGTCCCAAACAGGTTTGGTTTTTATTGTTAAGTCCTTGGAATTTCATATTCTGACAACAGCTGGTGCCCTTTGTGGTTAAACAGTTCAGAAAACATGAGAGTTCCTCGTGTGCCCTTGCTGTATCGAGCAAGCTGGGAGTCAGAATGACCTCGCTCATTCACATTTTGCATACAGGGCAAATGCTTCTCTCCTCCATGCCCCCTTTTCATTGTAAGCAGATTGGCAACCCCTTGTCCTCAGCAGTGAGGGAGGGACTAGCTCAGCTCAGACTTGTTTTTAGAGACTGATGTAAGGTCACCACTCATGCAGAGAAAGGTGTCTACAAAGTTGTGTAGGTTCTCGTAGTGTGTTCTGATGTCCAGGTCACTGAACCTCTCCAAAGGAGTCCCAGGAAATGGAAATAGCAGCAAGCAGCTCCATCCATGTTGGTTTTGGTTCTGAGAAGTGGAAGTAAACAAAGTGCAAATCCTTGGGCCTGAGATGCAGCCCGGGGCTTCCCTCGTGAGTACATTAGAGACAAAAGGACCACAGCAGTAGGGTTATTTAGAGGTAAGAAAAAGGAGGTCCTGCTGGGAATTCTGAGACCAGAGTTTCCATTCTTTAGAGTCTTTCCTGAACACAGGCCACTCTTGCTCAGAGAGAGCACATGCAGTGTGCACTTGCCTCTTGGATTAGCGTCACAGTCAATATGATATGTTAAACTTTCTAAAACTTAGGACATTCATTTGCATTTCACAAAACTGAATATTACCAGCTATTTCCCTTCTCTTCGGGTCAGACACAAGATGCCGGATTATATTTTAGGTGATAACAAGAAATCTTTGCTTAAAATAACAACTTCAGGTGAACGAACTAAAGGTCATAAAAATTATGATGTCATTTCCTCATCCATCTCTGCAAATGTGTGACAACTGTGGTTTGGTGCATCTTGAAAGTAGAATTCTTTTAAATTATAAAGGATTTTGTGTGCTTGAAATCCTAGAAAAGAAATAAAAAATTCTAAATATAATGTGCTACTTCATATATAAATACATTCATATAAATCCTAAGACTATCAAACTAAGATTCTTAGAGTTACAGTTAGCATATATGTAACTAACCCTAATTTTATGGACAATTAAGTGAAAGCTAGAAGCCAGGTAGCTTGAGCTTTTCTGAGAGTAAATAGGTGGGAGTTAGAGCAAGAGGAGTGTGGCTTGTTGGGCATGTGCTAGGGCACTGTTGCTGCTCATCCAATAGTGCACAGGGCGTACAGTAGAGCATTGTGGCCCAGCTCTTAGGTGGGGAACACTACCAGAGAACCAAACGGAACTGGAGACTTGAGCGGATGAGGGTAACTGAGAGGAAGGAGCGGGGGTTGAGGGAGGGGAGAGAGAGAAAGAGTCCCTGTTAATTCAGAGACACAGTCCTTTTTATCATTGACAGGATAGAATGACCTTATCCCAATCTTAATGCTAGTCTTTGTAAATTACAGATCCTCTAATTAAAGAACAGTATCGTAAACACAATATGGTGACTTCTGTCATAGATCCTAAGCTTTACAGAGCAGTAAGTGGGCATTAAATACTGCTGTCTACTGGAATCAACTAAATGTTTAAGGTGCTGATGCCCGAGTTTTTCTGGAAGAAGCTGAGACTCCCTTCCCTAGCGTTCTAAGGGGTTCTGGAATCCTCTTCTCAGGAAAGGGCTTAAGCTTCTGAGAATGTTGGGTGTCTCCCTTCTATTATATTACCAAAAAGTAGTCCAGCAGGTCCAAATGATGTTCTCTAAGTGATCTCAAATAGATGGTAATTTCTTTTACTGCAGTAACATGCTAGTTTCTATCCCTAACATTACCAAATGCTTGGATAAGCAAGTTCTAGAACTATAGCATGCTAGTAGCCATCTACTGGGTCAGACTTCAAAGACACAGGCTACCTGGGCTCCACCTCCACCAGTGTTAGCCTGTGAGAACTTGTACTCAGTTTCCTCATCTATCAAAAATGACTGAAAATGCCAGACTCAGTCACAACAGAAATATGATGAAAATCACTTGCTCTGTAAATGCCAGACATCTTCACCATGCCAACCCAGATGGAAAGGAAGCTCTAACATTTACTAGATCCTTTAGTGTGCCACTGGTAGACACTAATCTAAAGTATTAAAAATGAAATCACAATATCCACACATTTGTTTCATTTCTCCTAAATATTAAAAATGCTTTAATGGTACTCACATTTTCACTCATTGTGGTGGCTTTAGATGCAGGACTACCCTTTCTGTTTGTAAAACATAAAGACAGTATTTACTATATTATTACTTCTAATCCCGAAACCCATTCTCATTCATCAGGACTATCTATCTTATCCAGGCAGGAAGAAAAACCAGCAGCCCAGACTGGGTTCCTGACACTTATAGACAGCAACTAGAGAAGCCATGCAACAAACTGCAGGTTCGTGTGAAACCCTGAGCAGCAAAATACAGCCTAAGGCTAACATGCTAAAATGATTTTGTTGAATACAAAGATAAAAGATTTATTTTCAGCCTGATGTATTAATTATTAAAAGTTCAATTATTATAATCCAAAATTTCATTTGTCCATGGATAGTTTTATGTGTTGATTGGGGTTCTTGTAGAAGCTCAATGAGTTTGAAGACTATGAATTTCATGAGTAGACATAAGGTGTAAAGAAATAAAATGCTCCTTCTTGGATTACGAAGACTCCTGCCAGATTCCACAGAGGCTCAAATTAAGAGAGTATAAATCTCCCTCATTCTATTTAAGATCCCTTTTCACTCTATTCAAAACCCTCCAATCACCCTGCATCTTAATAAAACATTGAAATGCTCACAGTTGGGGTGGGAGTGGGTAGTGGTTCCATACCCAGGCTGCTCTGTTCTTAATTTCCCCTTCACTAATCCTGACATCTTAGACTTTGACCTTGGATACCATGAGATTGGGACACTGGGGTTGAGGCAGGCATCTGGGAATCAGAACTCAATGACAGATGAGTCTTCAAAGGATTTAAGAGAAGCCATGCCAGCTGGGGAGAGGGAGGACTATGTAAAGGGGAAATGGCCATGCCCATTTATAAAGGGAGGTCAGTCACAGACAGATCAAGTGGAACAAAACTGGGACTTTGATGATCTTATCCATGTCTTATTCGTGACTCCAAGATTGTTATTAGCAATTGAGATATTTGCCCCCAGGGGTTAGAGAGATGTCTCTGTGGTTAAGAGCACTTACTAGCTGGGCGGTGGTGGCGCACTCCTTTAATCCCAGCACTCAGGAGGCAGAGACAGGTGGATCTCTGTGAGTTCCAGGCCAGGCTGGACCGACAGCCTCCAAAACAATACAGAGAAATCCTGTCTCGTAAAACCAAAAAAAAAAGCACTTACTAATCTTGTAAAAAAAAAAAACTGGGCTCCCAGCACCTATACAGTCAGTGGCTCACAACCATCTGTGATTCCAGCTCCTGGAGATCTAACACCCTCTTCTAGCCTCGATGGATACTGTATGCACTGGTACACAGACATACACTCAGACACATAGACTAAAAAAGAAAAAGATGTTCTCCCAGACTCCAGATTCATATACCTTCTGTTGCTGATTATGTCTGCTTAGTAGTTTAACGTGCTTATCAAATACAGAAGCGAGTAGAGGGCATGTTCTTTTAACTGAGTCCACCTCCCACTTTCCTTTCTAGATCACTCCATTGCTGAAAATATATCCACTATGCTATAAGCCCTCACGTACTCCCACACCATAAGCTGTGTTGTGTCTTGTCTTGGTTACTGTTCGTTTTCTAATTGGTCTACCTGCTATCACTCTTTTTCCCCCTTAAAGCTTATTCCTAACAGAGAAACCAAGATAAACATTAAAGAATTAAACATTTAAAAGATGTGTACAGCCCTTCATAGATGTCCTATGTTACTTAGAACCAAAACCAAATGCCTCAAAAATCCTCAAAACTAAAAAAAAAAAAAAAAAAAAAAATCCTCAAAACTGCTTGGCAGCATCTCTGTATAACCTCTCCCCCAATGCTTTTGTGTGCTCATTGCCTCTCTGACGTAGGACAACGCTCTTGTTCACCGTAAAGATTTGTCACTCATACTGGTTTAATCAAATGCTGATTGCCCAGTAGCCAGGCAGGAAATATAGGTGGGGCTACCAAACCAGAATTCTGGGTAGAGGACAGCAGAGGAGCAGTTGCCAGCCAGAGAGGAAGCAAGAAGAGAATGCCATACTGAGAAAAGGTACCAAGCCACATGACTAAACATAGATAAGTATTATGTGTTAATTTAAGTTGTAAGAGCTTGTTAGTAAGAAGCCTGAGCAATAGGCCAAACAGTTTATAATTAATATAAGCGTCTGTGTGTTTATTTGGGACTGAAGGACTGTGGGACTGGGCAAGGCAGAAACTCCTGTCTACACCTCTTTCCCATACTGCTGGGAGCACAATCTCATCTTCATACCGTCTGATACAGTGGGCATCCCGACCTTGGGCTCTTTCATTTCTTTCTCCCCCTTCTGCGAAAGCATCATTGTGAACATCTGCTTGGCTTGCTTCCTCTCGGTCTGTGTCCCTTCTAGACCCTCTATTTAAATGATAATCTCCACTCCCGTATTTTACCTGTTTGCTTTTCCTCCACAGTTCTTGTCACCCTCTGAAAAGCTGTAGAGTGTACAGGGTTAGTTACTGTCTGCTACTGGAATGTATGCTCCATATTGGTACTTATTTCAATCCATGATTTTCAATATAGAGTTTTGTGGGTGTTTTGGCCTTTTTAAAGAACTGATACGGGGGCTGTAGAAATGGCTCAGGTTAAGTACTGGCTGCTGTTCCAAGAGGTACTGAGTTCAATTCCCAGCAACCACATGGTGGCTCACAACCATCTATATTGAGATCTGGTGCCCTCTTCTGGCGTGTGTATGCATAATAAATAAATTTTTAAAAAACCACACACACCTGAAATTGATATAATGGCAGTGCCTAGAGCAGCGTTGGGCACAAAACTGATTAAATTTCAGCTAAGTGTAAAAGTTACTAAGAGAAAGCTTATTTGAAAAATTTCAGTTTAGTGAAATATAGAAATGGTGTCTTTAATGTTGTACTATGGAAATGTCTACAAATGCTTCTTGTCATTTATAAGCAGGCACAAGGACAGAGGTAGTTTGTATTTCTTTACGAACTTCCAACAGGATTACTCTACACAAATAAACTACTTTTGACATTAAACAGATGATTAAAGAATAAAAGATTTGAAGAAAATGTATTATGAAAGGATACTTACTGGAAGGATGCTTCTTCTGGAAAAGAACAAGTATATATTATTAGTGCAAGAATTAATATCCGCTCTATCTACAATGACTTTGGCTTGCCTCTGTTTGAGTCTCACCTGTAACATATGTACCTTCTAAATGAAAATTTCTTATGAAAGGTCATACGTACAACAAATGTTTGGGCTTTGAGGGCTCGGGTAAAATCAAGGATACTTTGGACTTGCTCACATAATCAAGAAGAAAACAAAATTTCAAAAATGTTATTAAAAATTAAAGTATAATAATCATCTCATCAGCTTATTAATTAAAATTACAGGATTCTTTTGGTGTAGGACTAATATTTCTTTGAAATGTGATTCCCAAGGTAGTGTTAAGTAATTTCAAGTTTGCCTCTGTAAAAATTAGCTTATAAACTCTAGAAAATGAGGTAGGAGCTGGGCTTGGTGGTGCTAACCTGTAATCCCAGATACTTGGGAAACTAAGGCAGGGTGATCACAAGTTCAAGGCTAGCCTGGGCAACTTAAGTGAGACCTGTCTCAAATTCAAAAAGCAAAAGGAAAGCTGGCCATATTGCTCAGTAATGGAGCAGTGTTCTGGCATGTACAAAGTCTTAGGTCTGTTTTCTCGTACCAGGGAAATAAAAGTAGAAGGAAAAGAAAAACAGATATAAACTGGATTTAGCCGGAAGTTATAGTTTGCTGATGCTGATCTCAAACACAAGTTCAAAAACTCAATTCCCTTGGACAGGTTTTCTGCCATAAGAAAATAGAGGTAATAAGCTTAACTAATTGAACTCTTAACCCCTGTCTCAACTCTCAGTATTTTAAGAAAAGAATCTTTATTGACTCTTCATCTAAAAATCATCAGGGTATTTTTCTTTTTTTTTTTAAAGATTTATTTATTTATTGCAAACACAACACCCTGCCTCCATGTACATCTACACACCAGAAGAGGGCACCAGATCTCATTACAGATGGTTGTGAGCCACCATGTGGTTGCTGGGAATTGAACTCATGACCTCTGGAAGAGCAGTCAGTGCTCTTAACCTCTGAGCCATCTCTCCATCCCGGGTATTTTTCTAAGTAGGTAAAAATGACAAGAATTTTGAATGATGATTTTGTTTATACTTTCACTGGTGACCAGCAGGGGGACACAGCTAGATTCTATTCATGAAATAGGCGAGGCTAAGCTAGACTGCACCCTCATTCACACAACAGTTCACTCTGTTTGTTTTTTCTTAACACGGGGTCGTATTCTGTAGACCAAGTTGGCCTTGCATCAGCCTCGTGAGTGTTGTAATTACATGTGTGAGCTCCGTGCCCAGCAGTAGCTAAGAATAAGGAGTTACCTTGAACCAGTTTTCATGGAAACATTTCTGATATATAAGATTTAACTAAGCACTGAACTGAACCCAAGGAACCCAGTGACAGAGAGAGAGGAGTGATGAGCAAATTGGCAAAGAATGGGCTGGCAAAACCAGCAGAGACAGCTGATCTGAACAGGGGAGTGCTCTTGGACCCCAGACCCACAGTGGGGAGGCCAGAATGGGACTGATCTGGACCCCCCAAATAAAAAAAAAAAAAGATTTACTTATGGGTTGGTGGTGCATGCCTTTAATCCCAGCACTCGGGAGGCAGAGGCAGGCGGATCTCTGTGAGTTTGAGGCCAGCCTGGTCTACAGAGCAAGTTCCAGGACAGCCTCCAAAATAATATAGAGAAACCCTGTCTCGAAAAACCAAAAAAAAAAAAAAAAAAAAAAAAAAGATTTACTTTGCTATCCTTTGGTTTTGTTTTATTTTTGTTTTTTTTTTTTCAGACAAGGTTTTTCAGTAGCTATGGAGCCAGTCCTGGAACTCACTCTGTAGACCAGGTTGGCCTTGAACTCTCAGAGATCCACCTGCCTCTGTTTCCGTAGTGATGGGATTAAAGGTGTGCACCACCAACACTCGGTGTGATTTTATTTTATTTTGGTATGAATAATTTTCAACCTAAATTTTAAAACTGATATCCATTATTAAGCGATGGGTGTAAAATCCATTCCCAGTGTAATTTATTATTTCATTTAAAAATTCAACTTCATACCCTTTTGTCAATGCAGCAAGTGGAAGCTCTTGCACTTTCATAAATTTAGACGCAGGGAAAGAGGGAATACATCAAAATAATAAAATGTGTTTAAATCTCAGAAATGTATATCCATCTAACGGCATAGTCAAATGGATTTTGAAGTTACAATAGCTCTTTTTTTGGGTGGGGGGGATGTTGAGACAGGGTTTCTCTGTGGCTTTAGAGGCTGTCCTGGAACTAGCTCTTGTGGACCAAGCTGGTCTCAAACTCACAGAAATCTGCCTGCCTCTGCCTCCCGAGTGCTGGGATTAAAGGTGTGTGCCGCCACAGCCTAGCAGTTATAATAGTTCTAACCACAAAGAACTAAAAACGTCGTCTGGAAGTATCTCTAATTCAGTAGGGTCTATGTGTGTTCCTTGGTGTTGCTTTGTAATTTTTTTTCTGAAATAGGCTCTCACTATACAGCCCAGGCTGGACTCACTCGCTATTCTCACTACGCTACCCTGCTCCCAGTACTACGATCCCAGATATACCACCATGCCCAACTAGGCTTCTAGCTTTGGTTGACAATTTACTTGGTAGTTGTACTAATTTAGACATTCAACATTCCACTGTTCTATACTGAAGCATTTCACTGGTGGTTGTAAAATTAGGAATCAATGTCTATCCTGAAAGTCGTAATTCCAACTTAAAATATAAGGATGTCACACATACGTTAGTACAAACATTTGTCTACAATGAATGTCTTTGTGCTGTTCTATTCCAAGGATGATTCTCACACATTCCAGGGAATTGCCTAGAATTCCTCAAAAAGGAAGCATTCTCCACCTCACCCCACCCCTGCTCTGTTTGCCACAGTGTATCACAAACCCTTATGCATGTTGTTGTGGAAATTATCTATAGCAGAGTAGCAGTAAAAATACTCTTCAGAGTAGACAGAACTTCATAGGAGAAACAGTACACCTTAAAAAGAAATCTGTGTATTTTAGGAAATCACACATCTGAGAAGGGGGAATTCAACTTACTTGAAAAGTAGCCTTTTCTCTGAGCATAGCATATACTAAGGCCACATACAGAAATCACGAAGGTCACCACTACTACAGCTGCGATGATGCCACTTATGTTGACAAGATCTGGAATGTGAAATAAAGCATGTGTGAGTTCATGTTAAATAGATGGACAGATGCCATCATTAAATCAACAGAGTCATAAAAGCTCCCCTTGATGAAATGACAGTCACTGGAGATCCACCATGGAGGGCCTCACCCTCCCTGGGGATCAGAGTGGAGATTGGGTGGGGAACGGGGAGACCTGGTGGAGAGGGCGGGGGAGGAGGGAAGAGAGGGGGAGCTGGGATTGACATGTGAAACAAGATTGTTTCTAACCTAAATAAAAAAAATATTATTAAAAAATAAAAAACAAAGATGACTGACAAAAAAGGAAATATGTATATAGTTTGAGAGTAGTAAAACTAAAAGGGGGTCTTTCTAACTTTTTATCTACATAAGAATACAATTATGTGATTGTTTGTACTTTTTACATTGCATTGATATTCTTTCCTCTGGATTCACCTAAGTCAGAATGCTATGGAATAAAAATAAATAAAGTAAAAACTCCCCTTGGTAGCAATGTTAAGGATATCCGTGTGCTTTCTAAACCTATTTAACTAAGTTAATATCAAGGTGTGACTCAAAACTGGTTGAAAATAAAGAACCGAGCTTTGCCAAAATCTTAAATGTTAGGACTGGCAAGACAGCGGGTAAAGGCACTTGCCATCTATCCTGAACACCTGAGTGCAATCCCTGAAGCCCTTCTCTGACATCCACCCATGCCCTGGCTTTGATCCCTATGGGTGATGGTGGGGCGGAGGTTATGCACTAAAACTCATATTTCCTAGGAAAGATCCATAAGCTGTCATTCTTTGGGGTTCTAAAAGTCATTTTGTGAAATATAACATACTGTAGCTCCAGTCTGAACACTCTAGATCCATAACTATTCCATTTGTCTTTTGGAAAACTTACCCTACAATTAGTATAAGCTTAGTGTTTCAGGGCATTGACACACCATCATCAGTGACTTACTAACAATATGGCTAACACAAATACTCACAGCACATGAACACTGTTGTACTATTTTATTGTAACCCTGTGAAGAAAGTATCTGCCACTGTGGAGAGTGAAATGTTAGCAAGCTGGGGGCAGCAGTTTACGCGGGCCCCCAGCAACACATACTACAGCACACTTGGCCATGATTTGAAAGACAGATTCCCTACAAAGGCCCATTTTAAAGCATTTATTTGAGAAAGTAAAATGTTATGTGTAAGCTAAATTGTCTTGCCTTGGTAGGAGGGAGACTGAAAACAAAACTGTCCTTCAAGTCACTCAACCCCTTCCATCCCTTGCTCCTTTAACCATCAAACATTTACATTCTACTCATACACCCGTTCTTCTCAATAGTCCATGCTTACCTACTTGCATTCGTTTTCCAGGACACCTGCGGGATCCGACAGAATTACGGGCTTCGCAGTAATATTCTCCACTGTCCATCTTGGAAATCATGTTAAATTGCTATTTGTACAAGGAAAAATAAACAGACCTTTAAACTGTAAATCTGTGAGTAGACTGATAAAATAACTAATGTCATTGCATTTTGTCATCAAGTGAGTCTGTCCTTTGTAATGACTCAGAACTTTATGTCTTTCTAGCGAATTGTGGTACGTATCTACCAGGATCTTCCAGGACTTTGAGAAGTAAATAGCTAGACCTGTTTAATTTGATAGGAAAAGGAAAGTACATCCAAGAATATCTGTCTCTCTCTTCCTCCATATGTGTTGCCCAGGCTGGCTGCAAACTCCTGATCCTCCCTCTTTAGCCTTCAAGAAGCCAGCATTACAGGAAGCCACCTCAGTATCTCTAATTTCTGGGAAGTGCCATTCATAAAGGAAGGCCTCCCTAGTGAAAGGCTAGTGCACTACTGTGGAATATTTTTTCAAGGTGTTTTACTTTTGTTTGTGCGGTGGAACATTTGTTTAATGATATAGAGATGTGTTGCTTTTGTTTATGCTGTGTTTGTTTAACTCAGTGAAGCTGTGATTCTTTGCCTGTCTAAAACACCTGATGGTTTAATAACGAGCTGACTGGCCAATAGTGAGGCAGGAGCAAGGATAGGTGGGTCTGGCAGACAGAGAGAATAAACAGCAGGAGACATCTGGGAGAGGGGGAAGAAAGGACCAAGAGCAAGGAGAGGAGGGTGCAAGGGGCCGGTCACCCAGCCGGCCAGCCACGGGTAAGAGCAGAAGGAAGAATACAGAAAGAAGAAAAGGAAAAAAAGCCCAGAGGCAAAAGGTAGATAGGTTAACGCAAGAAAAGCTGGCTAGAAACAAGACAAGCTAAAGCTGGTGTTCGTATCGAAGAATAAGCCTCTGTGTATTTATTTGGGAGCTGGGTGGCAGGCCCTCTAAAACAGTAAAAGAGCCAAAAGAGTAGAGAGTAATAAACAGCCAATTACAGTACACTTTCTCAGTCACAGTAAGTCCACTGACCATAAGCTCTTTCTCTGAAGAGCCAGAGCTGTGGTCAGGAAGTAGCTCCAAGGCTCAGAAAACCTCATCTGATGTTTACAGGACTGTAGATGATAACAATTTCAGAATATTTGGAAATTCCGAAGAGATAAAAGTTCAGCCCTTACTATTTCTCCCTGCTAAGTGATGAGGGGTAAGAATTTGATATAAAAGGCGTTATAATCTGAATCAGTACATTCATACCGCTGGAGTTTCTGAAGGAAAACAGAAAGGGGCGGGGAGCTGGAGGGATGGGAAAAGAGCCCACTCCCAGGTTCAGCTCCCTGTGGGCATGAGGTATGCTTACCATACACCACCAGGGCTGAGGCTCCCTGAGGGGAGTGGATCCCAGTGTTTCAGACTTGCCTCGGGGCTTTTATCACCCACTCAGAAAAAAATAAATCTGAAGAGTAAATATAGCAGAGTGTGACAGCAGGTTTTGTGCCCAATTTCACAGTGTAAGATCACTCGGACCTGCTGACTGCTCCTGATGACTGCGGAAAATGTTAGAGCGTGGCCTCATTCCGCGGCAGCCCCTCCTGCTTTTCATTGGCTACAGAATTGTGTGCTTTCCCCAGCATCAGAAAATCTGGGTTTTGCACCACACTGCCCTAGTAGAAAGAATTAAAGGAAACAGTACACCTTTGTACAGCTCCCTGGCTTCCTGTACTGTGTCCCCGACTTCCCATGGTAGCCTGTTCCATCATTTATTAATACATGTACTGTCCTCTTCCCTGCTACTTATCTCCCCACTGAGTAAGTAATGATGTTGCTCTTCAGTTCTCTGTAATTTTAAGTTCTAATAACCATTTCATCACAATGACAGCATTTAGTACCTGCAATGACCTTACCAGAGTTCCGGATTTTGTATTCATTGTGTATGAGCTGTTGCGTTTGCCAAGTTTTTGGCTTCCCAGCAAAGCAGTGCCATCTTTAAACCACGTGTATTCAGGGGCTGGATTTCCATCTTTTTCTTGACACCGTAGCTCTACAACACTTCCACTCATAACGGAAGTGGGCACTTCACATGAAGGAACTGCAGGAGCCACTGCACAATGGAGAAAGGGGGTCTTAGGGGCTCGAAGTAAAACAGAATTTAGTAGGTAACTATTAATAATCTCCTGGAAAACTCAGAACTGGCAATGGTAGGCAGAATTCGAAGATAGTTCCATAATGTCCCATCTTCAGCATATATACAGGATATTTAAAAGGTAAAAGTACTGTGAAGAAATCTGGCAAATATAATTAAGATTCCAAATCACAGTGTGGGGTTGCACACCTTTAATTCCAGCACTTTGGGGGCAGAGGCAGGTGGACCTCTGTGAGTTTTGAGACCAGCCTGGTTTACAGTGAGTTCCAAGACAGCCCTGTCTCAAAAAAAGATTCTAAATCTATCGTTTGTAATATAGAAAGGTGGATTTGGCCATACAACATGAAGCTTTTAAAGATTTATTTATATTTAATGCATGTGAATGTTTTGCCTGTATGTATGTATGTGCACAAAGTGTACAAAATGCCTATGGAGACCAGAAGAGGGTAGTAGATCTTCAGGACTTGAAGTAACAGGTTTGCCATTCCCCATGTGGATGCAGGGAAATGAACCGGAACCAACCAGGGTCATCTACAGAGCAGCAGGTTCTCTTAATCATTGGTGGCACATTTCTCAGTCCCTAGCATGGGCCTTTTAAACACAGGGTTTATTCTCGTTGATTACTGAAGGAAGTGCCAGCAGTTAACAGTACAAGAAGGACCAAGCCTGCCCCTGCTGTCCTGAGGATGAAAAGGGTGAGGTGACACGGAACTGCATGGTATGGGATCTCAGTCCTACCCACGAGGAAGTAAAAATCTGCCAACACCAAAAATGGGCGTGGACACAGTTTTTCCCCAGAGCCTGGAAAAAGCAATTCAGCCCACGCAAAACTTTCATTTCCGACTTGTAGAACACTGAGTAGAACCCAGCCTTGCTGGGTTGCATTTATAGAACAAGAAGTTGATAAAGGACTGTTCTCTTAACCTAATGTATGATAATTCACTATGCAGCAATAGAAAATGATCGTGCCAACTGCATCTGCTGCAAGGTTTTCTGAATTACATTTTCTCTTTACCAGCATGTCACTATACTTTACACTTGGCCTTGGCCAAAAATCTGAGAGACAATAGTACTTCAAAAAGATTCTGGACAACATTTTTTTTTAAAGAGAAGAGTTTATGTCTTGGCTTCTTATGCTAACATCATAGAAAAGATGATAGGTTCTGCCTACTGCTATTATGAACTGTTACATCTACCCATCATTCTTACACTGATTAATAATATTAGCCTTGAAGTTAACCTCATCTGGATCCAAATCTTGGTTAGGACCTGGTCTAATTGTGTGGCACTGGGAAAAGAATATTTCCTCATTTGTAAAAATTAATTTTGTAGTGAAGATTAAGTAAAATACTATGTGAAAGCACTTGACATCTGTTAGCTACCAAATAAATACTATTTCTTTTGAACCAAATCCTTTCTGATTTTTCAGCTGGTCTACAATTGTTTCTTCTGTTGCTTTCCCATCAACTTACGGGATACCATCTAGGATCCTGAAAAGCAAACACAGAGCAGAGTCTTGGGGAAAATGTTCATGGCACATGAAGTGGCATTAGGAACCACTTGAGTCTCAAACAAGGAGGTTTGTGAAACTGAATTAGTGATTTCCTCAGTTAGCGAGCCAACGGGAAGAGCCGGGTCTTGCTGGGAAAGAAGAAGCTTGTAGAGTATGGCGGTCCTGGTTGGGGCTGAGTTAGTGTCCCACCCCCAGAGCTAGGGTGATTGTGGGACAGCTGACAGCAGTTACACATGAGCATGCGCATTACCCAAGACTTCCAGCGTGACTGTGTCTTCCTGCAGGTTTTGGCCTTGCTCAGATGGAGCACTGACTTCACAACGATACTTTCCAGCATCTTTTCTCGTGACATTTTTGATTCGTATGTTGAAATCTATCATCTCAGCTCGATCTTTAAAATCACCTTTTGGGGGGGAAAAGACAATAATGTTACAAACAATGAAATTTTCGGTGTAGTCTTCCTCAAGTTACTTCATTCAAAACTAAAGCATTTGTTTTCCTGGTAAAAAAATTTAAACTTGGAGCTTGTGCATGTTATGCATTTTGGAGGACATTTTTAGTCTATTAAAGACTATCTAATTTCACCCTTTCTCTCACTATATAGCCTTGGCTGGTCTGGAACTCTCTAAGTAGATCAGGTTGGTCCTGAACTCACAAAGATCTACCAGCTCTACTCCCTGAATGCAGGAATTAAAGGTGTATATCACTTCATGTGGCACCATGTTTGATTTTAAAGAACCAAATGCCTGCCTTGCCTCCTGTCTAGTATCTATTTCTGCTTTCAGAAATGGAGAGTGATTTAGCTACTCAAAACACTAACTTTATATATGGTCATTCAAATCATACCAGAGAAGAAAGGTAGGTGGCAAGGATCTTAAAACATTGTCTTGATTAGATTTTGATAATAATAAGCAGTGAATTAAAGTGGGCTTTTGTGAGCTAGTGGAGTGGCCTAGTTGGGCAATGGTGCCTGCTGCAGAGTTAAATAATTTGAGTTTTATCCCAGAGTTCCAGATGATGGAAGGAGACACAACTCCTGCTAATTGTCCTCTGACTTCCACATGGCATGCATTCCCCTAAATAAGTATATATAATAAAAAATAAAATGAAATGGGGTTGTGTAATATGCAAGTGTGTGAAATGGCAATTATGGAAATTTAATGTGAAAATACCTGCTCTATTAGCCATTGGAATTTATGTCTATCTGAATGGAGTAAAATCAGATGGGGTATTTTATTTATTTGATTTTTGATACAGTGTTTCACCACATAGCTTCAAGTTTCCCGGGACTCATTTTGTAGATCAGACTGACCTTGAACTCACAGAGCTCTGTCTGCCTCTGCCTCCTGAGTGACTGGAGTTAAAGACATGTGCCCTTCAATGAGTAGAGTGGTTCGAACTGCCCCTCATGGGTTTATGTCTTTGACTATTTGGCCCACAATTAGTGGCTCTGTTTTGGGAGGGTTACAGCATTCAGGAGGTGGCACTTTGCTGGAGGACATACATCACTGGACATGGGATTATAGCCTCACCTCACTTCCTTTTGTACATCCCTACTTCCTGTTCCTGAGTATAGATGGAAATGTGATCAGCGAGCTTCCTGACCCAGCTACCATGCCTTCCCTGCTACGATAGACTCTGGAACAGTAAACCAGAGTAAACCCTTTCTTCTTTAAGGTGTTTTTGTCATAGTATTTTATCACAGCAACAGAAAAGCTACCAACACACAAACTAATGCCATAGTTCATCCACCATTACCACATTTTAACTATAATAATAAATTATATAACCCGAAGGAAGAATAGAGAGTACAACAATGAAAAGTACTTATTAAAAGAAGATAAGTACTTATTAACAGTTATTGCAACTATAACAGTCTATGAGTTCCAACTCTCCAGGCTCCTTTTGTAACTAACAGTCCACACACCCCAACTTTCCAGGCTTCTCAGTGATTTGCTTTCTAGAGGGAAACAGGAAAGTAGGGTGAGGCCTCACATTTCCAACCCCAATCCCAATCTCAGCTTTTTTTTTTTTTTTTTGAGACAGGGTCTCTCTTTGTAGTCATGGCTGTCCTGTTACATAGATCACACTGGCTTTAAACTCACAGAGATCCCTCTGCCTCTGCCTCTGCCTCTAGAACGCCAAGATTAAAGGTGGGCACCACCATGTCTGACCCGACATCAGATCAGTCTTTTTCTCTTCTCTAACAGTTTAATTAACCAGGCCAGCAAAGTAATCATGTTTGGTGGATTTCACCTCCGTTTTCTCTGTCTGGTTTTTGTAACTGTTGTATTTTAGGTCTCAGACACTATTCATTTCATCTCACACTTACAGAAACACATTTTCAGTAATCAGTCATGTCCTGTTCCCATTTGTAAATTAAGGAATATGGGCTGTATGTGGTGTCTTCTCTCTCTGACCTCTTCAATCTAGTTTCTTACCTTGGAGAGCCTGTTGATAGTAGACCAAGGAGACTCCCCGCCCCAGTTTCTTCCACTCCAATCTGGAGGAAGCAGTCTTCTTTGGGGTTTTACAAGCTAAAATAGCCTCTAGACACAAGGGAAAATATGTTTTTTATGAGCTTATACTTTAACTTAAAAACATCTTTTAAGTTACTTTAAATTTTTTCTTTTATATTTCCATCCCTCTATTCATCTCTCCCACCACACACTGAGACGTAAATGCATCACCTCAACACGTACCATGCTGACGTCACCCAAAGATGAATTGGGAACATGACAGCTCTTCTCTGCAATAATTGTGTGACATAATCCTAGTTCTGGAATCTGCGTTTCCATCATTGAAATGGGATAGTGACTCACACAGTTGTGAGTCTTCAAAAGCAGCAATGTCTTCAAAACAGACAGGCCTAAACATTGTTAGTACTTAGCAAAAAGCTGCTGCGACTAATTGTTTATTTGTTAGTCTAAGTCTCCGCATCTGGGGAGCCTAAAGTTTGATGGAAGATGCAGGTAAGACATGGTCACTTCAGGCAAAGATGATGCGCATCAAGAGGGAAGTCAAGGGAGTGAACTGGACATTTGCTCCTAAGAAAGACACTTAGTCCATCCCAGGCATGCTGGGGAAATGCACAGAAGTTCTTCACAGGCTACGTTCCCACTCAGTTCTGTAGTGATACAGTATTTATGATTTGTTAAAGCTTGCCTGAGGGTACAGAAAGCAAAGTCAGCCACACTAGTTAGCTATAGAATCCTGGTGGCGGTGGTACACATCTTTAATTTCAGGACTCAGGATTAAAAGGTAGATGATCTCTGAGTCCAAGACCACCCTGAGCTACTGGAGAGTGAATCAGAGCTGACACCTTTGATCCCTGGATTTCAGAGGTATAAAAGGTAGATATCCAGTCTGAGAGTTAGTCTCTAGCCATGCTGAGGAGAACATAGCAGTCTGAGTGAATCGGAGGAGCAGTGAAGTCAGGAGCAGTCAGAGGATCTCTGCTTTGGTCTGAGTTGAGGTAGAGGCAAGAGCTAGTGGCTGGCTGCTTTGCTTTTCTGACCTCCAGCCTGAAGCTTGAACCCCAATATCAGCTTCTGGGTCTTTTATTTATCATGCTACACAGTTCCCTTTTGTCTCACGCTATGAAGACATTAATATTCACCTAATATCGCCTTATGTAAATTGTAGTTTCCTGCTGCAAAATGACTGCCTATAACTTTGCCTCAATGCGGACAAACTATTAAAACTATATCAACTTTACTTCAGTGTAGCAAAGATCGGTTTTATGACAGTAAATTTACCATAGTTGCATCATTAAAGGATCCTGGAACCTCCAAGGGAGTTACCTCTTTAGACTGTCCAGACCAAATGACTAGGGAGAGTTGCCCAACACTATTCTAAATATTACTCCAAGCTGCCAAGCAGAAGCACCAGCTGTAAACAGTTTAAAAGTATGTTTCAACTAGGCTCCTTGGAGTGACAACTTCATATTTCTGGATATGTTTAACCATAACCATGTGGTGACCTAAAAAAAAAGGAGAGGATCTTTCATTGAATAAAAAATTTGGTTAAAATCTTTTCCATATGTCTGATTATGACATTTAAGAACATGTAATGTCATTAAAAAAACCATATTTCATATGCATAATCATAGACTACGAAAGTCTATGGGCCTATGTTTGAAAACTGTACCCAGTGGTAATAAAATAAGGGCTTGTTGTCATGTGTAGCCTGTACTGTGTTTCTAAATTCTAACTGTGCTTCTATTGATAGAAAGAAAATGAGAGGTAAAACAAAATTGGCTAGAGAAAAGAAAGGCAAGGGGGAAAAAAAGAACCCTACACTGTGTTAAGAACGCTTAAGGCTTTTTTTTCACGCCACGTGGAGTGATCGTTTTCAGAGGTGTTTACAACTATGCTACAAAGACAAATGTGTGCAAAGGGACCTGTCTGAGGAAACAGTTCTGTTCTGTTGATTAAGGAGAAAGGGTGGTAACTTCCCGAGTCTTGAGCTTTAGATAGGCTTCCTTCCCGTATTTTGTTGAGTTTTCCAACAATTATGCACACACCCACACTCGTTTTCACTGTATCTTACTCCTACATCTTAAGAGACAATTTTATACCGTACCACACTATTCCATGTATTTAACTAAACACGCACACAAATGCATCCCTTTTGGCGAGTTCCTCCCTCACCGTCTTGTGGAAAAACCTGAGGAAATTCTGTTAGAAAATGTAACCAATGACTTCCCCCAGTGACTTGACTTTAGTCTCCTTCTTACTGAACACATGGAATGTGAAGAAGTGGTCTGTCCAGTTTTCCAAAATACGTTCTGTAAAGCTGTGGGGCCAGCATTGCTCTTGAGCTGTAAGCAGCAAGCAGAGCAAGGATCCTATGGCCTTTGGGATCTGACAATCTAGCAGGGAAAGCCAGGCCGGCAGGCAGCAAGTACCCCGGGAGGGGAGAGCTGTGGGGATCGGGAGCTGTGGGGACCGGGGAGGGGGAAGCAGCAGAGGCGATGGAGGGTTGCTGGGGCAAGGCCACAGTGCACAAAACGTAGTTGACCTCCTTCAGAAGGTAACATCTGATCAAAGATTTAGAAGACAGGAAACTTCTTTCCAAGATGCTTTGAGAAAGGGTCCTGCCCAGGGAAGTGAAGACCATCAGCCCCAAGTCTGTGGTTCTCAACCTTATGCTGTGACTCTTTAATGCAGTTCCTAATGCTGTGGTGACCCCCAGCCATAAAATTATTTTCATGGCTACTTCACAACTGTAATTTTGCTACTGTTATGAATCATAATGTAAATATCTGTGTTTCTAGATGGTTTTAGGTGACACTGTGAAAATGTTGTTCCATCCCACCGGGAGGAACAGGCTGAGAACCACTGCCCTAAGGCATCAACACCTTTATCTTGAGCTATAATCCTCTAGAACTGTCAGAGAGCAAGGCTAATTGCTTTAGAGCCTGTAGTACTTTACTAAGACAGTCCTAAGGTATTAATACAAACAGGGAAAGTACTAGAATTATGGGGCTAGTATTTTAGGATAAAGAACCTAGATGTTAACTCTCCCCTTTCTCCAGCCAAAATTCAAAACTCACAGCTGGCATAATTTCCCATATCTGGCTGCCGGGTTATGGTGACGTGGTAGTTTACAGCACAGGCCATCAAGTTAGACCTTTATCGCATATTAGGCCTGAGATAATGAAAATACCATACATCAGTGAAACAATAAAATAATCATTGTCAAAATTATATATAAATACACATCATATATATGTTTGGTGCACATTATAACTTGCATATAGCAAGTGCTCCTTAAATGGTCTGTTATTTTCATCCACGGAGAAATTCTCTGTAGTTGCGACTGTAAGCTCACCACCACATGGTAGACATCCACACATGACATCATCACAAGTCCATATTTACATTACCCAAATCTGAACTCAAATGTTAGTAAAACAAATAGTAGTGACATAAATCATATTTCTTCACACAAGACACATTAATACTCAAAAGATGCCAGCCTTTTTTATTAATGTGGATTATGTTGTCAGAAAATCTGTTGAATCTTGATTGGAAAAAAAGGCCATTGTTGAAGAAAATGGTTGCTATGAAACGCTGATTAATAGCTTTCAGGTTTGGACCTCGTGCAGAGCTGCTCATATGATGTCCAAGGCTGGCAGAGCTGCCCTGATTTCCAGCTTAATCTGCTTTTGGCAGCACCAAGGGAAGTGAGGCCGACCAGCAGCTCTGAGAATCGGGGATTAATTCACAACTTTCTGACATCAGAGGAATATGAGAAAAAAAAAACCTGAATGAAATGGGTGTCATGTATACAAATCACAAAATGTCACAGACTTTAAATTGCTGCAAAAACAAACTAAATAAAAAAAGCCAAACAAAAACAAAATCCAACAATAACAACAAAACAAAAATGTGGAAGAAACTATTAATTAAATTTGCTTAATGGGAGCCAAATTGGAATAGGCAAGGCACACAAAAACTTTAGGTAAAAGAAAGTGAAAGAAAATAGTAACATAGTCTAGAGTCAGACTGACTACATGCATGTGTGCGCTGCATTAAACCCAGCATCTTGTATGACTGTGCATGCGTGTGTGTGCACTGTATTAAACCCAGCACCTTGTACATGGGTAAGCACTGGCTTTGCCACGACATCATTTCTCACTGAGCATGATAACTCCATCCTTGAGATTAGCATTTGACTGCAATAGATTATAGAAGGATTTTCTATATTAAAAATAAAGCATGTCTTAAAAAGGGAAAGCCAAGTGGACACAGGATTGCACTTTGCAGTAGAGGGAATGCTCTGGGTCTGAGGAGGGGTTGTGCTTTTAGAACACCTTGGATATACTGAGTTCCACTGAAGTGTTTACAGTTTAAGATGTCAGATTTTAAAGCTGTGTTAATTTTACTTCAGTATTTTAAAAGGAATGTAGAATAAAGCACTCGATCTTGCCATTTTAGAAGAGATACTAAAACCGAGGCATGTGCACCCACTGCGCCCGGCTGGACCTCAGTAAGCGCCTCTGGGAAGCGAGGAGAGTGCTGGACCTCACTTTGACTCTTGAGGTCGTCCTCCCTGGCTGTGAACACTGTCTATCTTCCCAGTCTCTCTTCTGGCATGTTGCCAGCTCTGTTTACCCTCCTGTGAGTACTCCAGAGTCCAAGTCACTTTCGGGGATTTATTACCTCTTGGCCACCTTCCTTCATTTGAAACTGACCCGCAATAAAGTGTGTCTTACTAGCTTAGTCATGTGGTATATTATAATGTAGAGTCTTTAACTGAATTATCTGGGTGCTTTTTGTTATACTACCCTAATCTTATACTGCCTACGTGACCAGATGGGGCTTCTGCCCCACCCTTATCTCACCTGGAGGCCTAAAGTTCTTCTTCAGTGGACAGACCAAAACCTAACTGGCTATTAGATGGCCACCAGGGTGGCCACTGCAGAAGGTACAAGGACATGGTAAGTGGCATCCACTACCAGCTTCACGGCTAATGATAAGTGCCATGGCAAGAATCAGACAGACCATACAAGGAGAAAAATAAGGTGTGAGCAGGCAGCGAGTTAAATGGCTCGGCAGTTAAAAGGCTGGAGACCAGCATTTGGTCCCTGGGATCAACATAAAGTAGTTTTCTCCCACCTTGGGGAGAAAACACACACACACACACACACACACACACACACACACACACACACACACACACACACACACAGAGGGGGGGTAGGGGAGTGGGCAGAAGACTTAAATAGAAAGACAGTATGAAAACAAATCTGTTGGGGAAGTCCTGTGCATTTGTCAATAAAGCATTGTCTGGCCAATAGGGAATCTAGATAGGAGGGACTAGGAGTCCAGGAGGACTCTGGGAAGGAGAAACACAAGAGAGTCGACATGTGACGCCATGGGGTAGGAAGCCCGGAACTATTCTCCGGTAAGAAACATACTTAGATTAACAATTATGGGGTAATTACTTAAGTCAGAACTAGCCAGTAAGAAAAAAGCAAGGCCAACAGCTTCATAATTAATATAGCCTCCTGTGTGTTTATTTGGGACTGATGCGGCTCTAGAACCAGGTTGGCGGGAAGGCTTCTCTCAAAGAAAAAGCTTCTCTTAACATACAAATCAATCCAGTTAAATCTGAAGATGCCATACCTTGGTACTCTATTACTGTAACTTGCTGATAGTGGTCTTTTGATGCAGAAAATCCATTTGCCTTATGATCTGAAAGAGTAAAACAGATAAGATTATTGATAATGGAGCTTGTTTTCAAATGTTTGAGTGGGACACAGCATTCAACCAAGCCTGTATAAACTGAGTAACAGTTGTTACACAATTCATTGCATATAAAACATAAAATATCAAAGTAGTGAAACCACACCACACATATCACTTTCATTTTCTTTATGGTGGTTTGGGCTCTTAGTATTTCCCAAGCAGAATCTACAGCAGGAAGTACACTGTCCTCAGCACCTCTGGAAACAAGCATGCCCTTAATTTATCTTATTATGCAATGCAGTGTCTGTTTCCGCCCACCCACCCATCCACCCACCCACATATCTGTTGATCTGTCCACCTGCCCCCACATACCTAGCCACCCATCCACCCACCCACATATCCATCTATCCACGTATACGTTCACCTAGTCATCCATCCAGAGATAGATTCTCAGGGAAGACTTAACTATCTTCTTTTTATTCAGTCTTTTATCCTCTCATTGACTCAATTACCATTTTTGGCAAAAACAAAAAACCAAAGAAATAAACACTTATCACTAGTTCTGCTATCTCTTCTGAGAGGAAACTTGCCAGCCTCCCTTTCTACTAGACATCTGTATCTCCTTTCTCTACTTACACCACAAATTCATGGGCAAAAGCAACGCTCCAGCTTCATTGCAAGCTTTCTTTTATTTCTACAAATTTCATTACAGTTGAAAGGCATCACAATGAACAAGGTCATTCATGCCAGAATCTCACACTTTTCACAGGATACACCTATCTTCACACCAATACAGCTGGGAATTCTGCCATCCATGATGGTACTTTGAGTATTTGTCCTTTCTGCTCTTACATTTATTAATTTTCCTTGTCTCAAGAAGGTATTTAAATATCCAAAATCAAGCAAGAGAAAAATAGGGCACATCTTGCCTCATCACCATAAAAGAAATACTGGCCAGGACAGACATGGAAAATTTGATAGCTTAGGCATTCATTTGAAAGAAACCACCAATATAAAATTACACCTGCTTCTTGGACTTGTGGTAGAGGAGGAAGTGAGTTGGTCAACATGGATCTTGGTATGCAAAGCATCAGCAATAATAATGCTCACCATGTCTAAGTCCTTAGGTGTCTGATAACATCCCCAGTGCTTCCTGAGTATGTACTCACGTAACTCTTACAAGAATTATCCGTGGTTATGGCTTGAATATGAAATGTTCCCCCAGGATAGGTCCCCAGCTCACAGTTTTATTTTGGGAGGTTCTGGGACCTTTACAAAGTGTAGCCGGCTGCAGGAGATAACACACTGTGGTGGGTGGGGTATTAGAACTAACTTGACCTTGACCCTTTCTGGTCTCCTGCTTTCTGCTTCCTGTCCACCACAGGGTGAAGAAGGTCGTTCATCCCATCATCATGCTGTCATGATGTTCTTCCCAAGCTCATTAGGCCAACCAAGCATGAAACTGTAAGTCAAAATAAGATGTTCTTGCCTTAAGGTTTTTCCAGGTATCTTCTTACAGCTATGCAAATACAGCTAGTACAGTACCCAAATCCCATGTGGTTACTTATACTGTACTATACTATTCTATTCTGCATTATACTGTACTGTACTATACCACACACAGTGCCCCATTTCCCTCAAGTTGAACTATGAACAAGGACTGCCAATTAGTAGAGATGTCACGCGGGAAGGTCCTTTCTTTTACTGAAGGCGGACTGGGGTGAAGAGAAGTTGGTATTGATGAAATTAAAGGACTGGCTCTGAGCCCAACGGGAAGGAAGAAGTGAAGAGACCACGCCCAGTGATAACGGACACCATAGGACCCTCAGACGGCTCTTGACCAGGGTTTTTCCATACTGATGCTATGACCGTTGGGGGTCAGGTAGTCTCTTGTAGGAGGCTGTCCTGTACATGATCATGCAGTTACACCATCTCTGACTTCTACCCAGTAGATGCAGGTAAGCACCCTGCCCATGCTCTGACATCTAAAACTGTAGAGATGGACAAATAACTGTGCCTTGAAAGTGTGGTGTGGAAATCAGTCGTCACTGAACAACCCTGCTCCAGTCAGACTAGCTTAAGAGCCAAGCATAGAAATACACCAATAATAGACTTAAGGAGAACACATTATTGTGAGCTCCAGGGTTTTAAAGTTCTTGTGAAATCAAGATTTTATAGCGATGAAAGAAAATCTATTATATTTCTGGGAAGGAGAAAAGTCTTCCGTGTGAGATGACATCTTCTCTTTGCCTTATTTATGTGTAGGTGTTTCCTTCTCATGCCTAAGGAACACAGCCATTAAGGAGAAATTTTTATTTTCCGTTTTGTGTCTCTTTGATGCATGGTAGCACGTCTCAGTGCAAATCAAAACTGCCCAATGTCTGCAAGACTTAGGTATCTAGCTCCTCAGTTTGGGTTTTGATTCCAAATCGCAACTGTCTCCACCATGGAAGCTGGCAACATGATGTGGGTGAAGACTGTAGACCTCCACTGATTCTTGTCACTGAGGGTCACAAATGCAAATGGGTGTCCAAGGCATCAGTGACAGAGACCAAAGAGTCACTTCAAAACAACCTTTTGGCGCCTGTAGTTCAAGAACCATGAAAAGGTCCAGTGCATCTCTTCAAGTCTCCTTTCTTCTTTTCCCATACACTTCCTTCACAAGCAAGCTGTTTACCTTTCCTCCCATATTCCTCTGAAACTGCTCACCTTCCCTTCCCCAGGGCTGCTTTTCTACCCTCTTCTGTCCTTCTTAGTTTTATTCTCTAGAGTTGGAAGACAGAGCCTGCACCTTTAGAAAGAGGATTGGCCAAGACTAGAGTGAAAAGCAGATTCTCACAGGTAAGCCCCGGAAAAGGAGGGGCTTCCTGTGTCAAATTACATTTAATGATAATGCCTTTGGATACTTCTGTAATAATTAGGGTTTCAAACTTGAAAGGTTTTGAAACTTTCAAAGGACACTTGGAAGCATCTGAACTAGTGTCCCACAGCAGATCTTGATTATAACCGACAAGTCTTGTGGTTTTTGAAGTACTTGAGTGGACTTTTCAGACAAAACAATAAAGACCAATATTCTCTGCAAACTGGCAAAGGGGAAATCTGAGCAGAAGAGGAAGAGATAATCTTTGACCTTTCGCATTGCCCGAGCTTTGAACTCTCCAAACTCCACACACCTACCCAGAGTGTTTATTTTCTTCAGCTGGCTCGAAGGTTTCCATCTATCCAGGAACACTTGAGGACAATCTCAGACTGGAAGGTTTGGGAACTAGGTTTCACGACTCAAAATAGGAATGTGATTTTTTTCCCCTTTTATCAATTTCAATTTTCTACTTGACAAAACTTCTTTTGAAAAATATTTTTTAAAATTTCAAAGATCACTAAAAGTTCTACGGTAAATAACTATTCACAAGTTGTACTCACTCTTTAATAAACTTTACATTCATGTATTTGAAAGTTTGGGACTTTTATTTATTCTTTCTTTATTTTCAATTATGAGTTTTATTTATTCTTAGGAATTGCATACACATAAAAATGAAATACGATCATCCATCTTCATTCACCCCGCCTCTAGCTCCTCCTGTGTCCCCCAAACACATTCCTCTCCCATCCCAACTTCATGTCGTGTGTGTGTGTGTGTGTGTGTGTGTGTGTGTGTGTAAGGTTTTGGAATCACAGACACACACACACACATATCCATCCCATGATAGAAGGAACAAACAGACACACACACACACACACACACACACACACACACACTACAAAGGTTTCATTTTGGTCTGTAATAGACTTGGGTTGTGTTTTATAGGCAGTACTCATCCCATCCATCTGGACGTCCTTTGTGCTATAATTTTGATAGGAGGTAATAATAAAATAGACAACTGACAACAATGGTGATGGTGGAAACCAACCCAGTTCTTTATCCTAATACATATGAAATGAGTTCTTTTATTGCCTCATCATGAGGTATAGTGCTGAGGTCAGCGTCTTTCAGATTTTAAATTGCCCTTTGATTCTACCACAAATCCATGCACATCTTAAACATCCATTTCACCTGAATTATGACAGTCGACTTTAACATTCCATGCTTAGCCAAAAAAACTGTATTACTGTCTTTTAATATTTGATTTGAGTGAATTTCAAAAATTAGACCTTCTAGTTGCACACACTACCCTGATGTCCTCTGACGGTTTCAGGACACAGATCCAAAGGTCCCAGAGATTCAAATGCTCAGAAAGCCATTTTTAAAGTCTGTTTGGTGACTGACCCAAGCAACTGTATGTTTTCTGTGACCTCACAGTTAGGAGTATAGGACCCGTGTTGGAATAAGAATGACGCAGAGAACCGCCTTTACCAAAAGAAAAAGGAAATTATAATTCTTGGATTTACAAGAAATGAGGGTAGCTAAATGTGAGTAATCTTCACCTGCCAATCACAAACATGACAGTCAGACAACGCTGCCAGACCATTGTTTCCATGTTCTGCCCTTTAAAATAAATGGTTCTTATTCTTTTGGCTTCCTGAACTCTAATCAAAGGAAACCTGAAGCAACAATAAGCAGGGAGGTTTCCCTTGGTTTTCAGATTCCTTCTGTTAGTGTTTATGTCAGTAGAATATTATTGGTAGCACATGCGTGAAATGTAAAGGCTCAGATTTTATGAGTCACCCTCTCACCAGAGACTTGCAAAATCATATCAATAAACCCCCCTATTTTAAGGATTGGGATTCAACAGAGCACATGAATGTGAACATAAAGTCATTGGTTCTGTAAGATCCTCACTGTTTTAAAGGTGGAGTTATCAGACCACAGTCCTTGGAGACCACTTCCTTTATCCAAACTCTATGGTAGTCAAAGTGAAGAATTGAACTAAACAAACTCATTTACAAGCCCATAATCATATGCTCTGTGAAAGACAGGCTAAGAAAGTATCCTTAAGCTAGAGATGTAGGTTAGTGAGGTAGTGCCTGCTTAGCATAGACAAAGCCCTTGGTTCCATTCTTAGGACAAT